AAATAGATAAAAAGTTCGCTCCACCGACAGGCGCCGAGAAGAAAAATGTCCAACATATATAGTCTCCTGTAAATGTGTATACTAAGGCACTGTTTGTTTCTACACCTTGGAGATAAAAAGGGACACCGCAGGATTGAAAAATGTCTCTTATTTTATTTTCACTTTTTTTTCATTGTTTCTATTTTCTTTTTATGTACGGTCTTTTAAGACAAAAGTGCTTCCTTCTTTTATTTATTTTTTTTTCAAGAAGAGAATCGCGTGAGCGTGGGATGTAATATGTTGGCTGGCTCACTCTCAGGAAGGCAAACAGGGGTGGGCTGGGGGGAGGTTAAACCTTTAACTTTCAAGATATGACTGTTAATTCTCCCCTCTTTGTGCTACACATTTCCTTTTTAATTGGATACAAGACTTTGATGTTAGATCAAGATAACAACCTCTACCTGATAAGTTTGAATATTCTCATCACCTGTCTGCTGAATTATGTATGGATATCATAGGAAGAAGATTCATAGTGATCACCACTTGGAGTGAAAGGCTAACCAATCCCACTTCCCCTGAGAACAATTTTTAAAAGGAATAATAGTTATGAAAAGATAAGAAAAACAATATCTCTCGGCGATAAGTTTAATCTAAACGCCCACCGAGTGACGCATGTCGATGGTTTACGGAACATCTTGCAAAGATAGAAAAACACTCAGTTGAAGAAACATTGGATTAGTAGAAAGGCTCGAACATATGGAATAATGTAATAGATAACTTTAGGGAAAAATAACGGAAGTCAAATGACATCGATCCCCCTTTTCCCCTTCGCACCCTCTCCCCCCACCACCACCAAAAAAAAAAACCCAAAAAACCCCAGAAGACTAAGAAAACAAAATGAACTTACGCCTTGTTCACAAGGTCGGTAGATAGGGGTGACGGAGACAGAGTGAATTGTTTGGGAGCCTTTCCTTCTTCGAAAGACCGTGGGAGAAGGGGGAGGACTCAAGACGGAGGGCACAGTTTTTCCTAATACGGACCGACCCTAGGCTGGTGAATAACATTTTATTTCTTTTCCCTTAAACTTAACCAAATTCTTTCCAAAGAACCCGAAAGATTTAGGGCTGTAATTACAGCAAGATCTTCCATAAACCTAAACATTTTTGAGCGAGTAAATGGTGGTTAAAATAGAGGTAATGCAAATTAAAGAAAGAAACTTCACCGAAGTCTGTTTTTCATTTTTCGTCCTCCCTCTTCTCCCACGGTCTTTCGAAGAAGGAAAGGCTCCAAAACAATGCACTCTGTCTCCGGATCTCTCACATGATTGGCTGACTCAAAAGAATAATGATGTCATGATTCTAATCTTTGATCAACAGGAAGAATATCATGCTAATTTGCCGATCAGCAACAGTATTCGGAAACATAAAAGCTACACGAGAATTTACCCATCTACAGATAATCATGAATCATTTTATTAGTATGGTTATTAGTATTTTTATTATTTACATGTATCATCATCATCATTATTGCAATTGTTATTGTCATTCTCGCCATTTCTATCCCAACAGAACAGTGTTTACCCATCTGATAACTATCTATGTTTTTACGGAGCGTTTCTCCTCAGAATTATTCAGCGTCAAAGGTGTTTGCTCATTTGAAACGCCTCGAACGTTTCATGCCTACCAGTCTTATAAAAAATTTCATAATAAACATAAGATGCCTCAATTACTCTCGATCTGAATTTTCGAACGTGTTGGATTGAGTATCATTACGGAGCAAAGTGATAATAAATTTCTAATTATAGGAACCCGTTTATTCAGAAGTCAATTGAATTCTCCAGATGGTTGCAAGCTCCTAATTTTCTTGCCCTCTTACTGGCTCGATTCGAGGGGAGGTCGTCAAAATTCAAAGAGAATGACTTTTTGATTCAGAAATGCATCTTTATGCAAAGTTAACGGCACCTTCTTCCTTTTTTCGGTTTTGTCATCGCGAAAGGAATACTTATATTTTGCGACTTTCGACTTCGTTCGGCAAGAATCTATTGTTATGAGTAATTGTTGTTGTAAATATAAGCTTCTAGAAATCCCCAGACTGCTTATTCATGTTGACATCAAGTAACGCAGTTGATGACACAGTTATTAAGTAATACTACTAAAATGGTTCTTTTGTAAGCTTCTGGTATGTTCCAGACTACTTTATAAATGTATGTGAGGACTCATTTATGTAGTAAAATGTAAAATGTTATTCGTCAGCCTGGGGTCGGTCCGTATTGGGAAAAACTGTGCCCTCTTTCTTGAGTACTCAATACAGAGGGCACAGTTCCCAATACGGACCTCCCGACGGGTGAATAAATTATATACATATATATGTAGATTTTTTTCGTTCAGGGCTCCCTATGCATGCATATGTATGTGTGATTAATTTACAACAATTTTTCGAGTGAATTCATAATGCATTCATATAATCGCTTACGAAGAGTTGCAATTTCATAAACAAGCAGGTAGCGAGAAATAAGAGAGATGGTAAGTTTTGAGCTCGGTTAAGAAATGAAGATGATTTTAGTCTTGTGACGAGCGTGTGACATACCCTACACAGAAAAACTGCCTCAACTTGTCCAAGTAATCATCTGGTGATGAGCCTTCAAAGAAGAAAACGTAAACTCATAACATAAACTGTTTAAGTAACTTGTATGTATACCTTTCTGAACTTCAGTTGTGGTACTCTAATTTCCTCTAAGCACTTAAAAAATTTATCAAACTATAATCAAAAGTTAAGTGGGGCAAAACACAATGGAGGTCATTCATTTGTCATGATTATTTTTGGTCGTTAAAGGTGAACCATTCCAAATAAGATCACAGCCGACCGAGTTGCAAGATAAAAAAGACTGGTTAGAGGTCAATAACAACTAGGCATTCCACGCGAAATTTGATAATAGCCTGGGACTTAGCGCGTGTTGTGTTGGAACTCGCCATGTGACTAAACTTCGTCGTAAATATAGTTTACACACAGGAATTACATCTGAACTTGACACAGTCAACAAAATCACTCGCAGTAATATCAGAGTGATTATGCCGAGAAAAGTGATATCACTTTCGAAGAGGAAGACCATGTAATCTTGTATCATATCTTTCGGCTATGGCGGGCTTTTCGATCTTCGAAACTCTGCACGTTGAGGTAAATTGTCTATTTGTAGCACCTCTGAACTCAGTACCCTTTTGGATACTTGGCGAAAGGAAGATCAGAATAATCTATCACCCGTTAAAACTCTACAAAGATTGGTGAAGTGTATTAGAAGTAGTATCTTTTTTTAAATTTGCAAAAAAAATCAAAAAAAAAAAAAAAAAGACGATGTTAATAACCCCTGAAAGCTTTCAAGTAGCTGCCTCAATGCAATTGGTTTCATTCGTTAATATGCTTTGAAATTATTATTATGAATTACACAATGATTGACTGGTTTCTCCAGTTCATCTTACATGTCAACAGATACCTTCCACCTAGCGAGGCTCATGGTGGTCTGTCAATGATAAAACTGTTGTTGGGTTAGCATGTCGCTGTCATTACACACCGAAAAAAATTCCTTTCCCTCTCTCAGAACGTATAAAACATAGCATGGAAAGGTAGAAAATAAATGGGAAAGACAATGGACGAATGATTTGTGTGCTAGATTCTGGAGGGGAGTTTTTAGTTTCAAGCCTTGGCCGTGATAATTGTGTGATACACACTCAGTGTGTATGACTACTTACTGGAACTGTAAGATCAGTAACATTGTTCATGTTGGGCTCTACAAAAAGTGAACAAACAATTTGGCAAAAAGTAGATTCAAAAGTATTTTACATTTTAAAATCACTCATGCAGGATAGCAGAGCTTGTGGAACGTGAGAATGAGGCATATCATAAACTAGATCCAGATCCTTTTGATGATTGGCATCCAGGTAAAAGTGCAAAGCTACCTTTTCACATTACACACTATTTGTGTTTTATACATTATAACATCTATTACAAATACACTAGGTAATGTAGTGTAAGGTATTCTCAGATACTAGGAAGGATAGCTACAGACCTAAAGGGGGTAAGTTTCTTTGAAAAAACTGTGATGCTGCATCAGTGGTGGAGTTTAACAAGATAATTTGTTTTTATTAACTGAGTTGATAATGTTAATTGGCCACCGTAAAGAGTTTCAAAACATTTCAAGCATTAGCCCTTTGTCAGAGTGTTTGTTGTGTAAACCTCTTCCATGAACAGCAAGCTGATAAGAAACAATATGCATGTTGAAGAGAACCAAGGCCTGCCAATAATGAAACAGGTCCAAGACACACTCTGCATGAAAAAGAATGATAACACATGACAAACAGCAGTAATTCAAACTTTTATGAATGAGAAGTGTTGTTCTTGCTTCTTATTCAATGTCAGTTCTACTTTTTGTTCCTGGTGGAATCTTCACTAGACTTACTGTGTTAAAGAGACACTGTACTTATCTACTTACGTGAGTCACAAGAAAATACTAGAACTTAGATGAGGCTTGGTGTGAGAATTGTCCATGTCACAGTGATGGCCTCATGTGGTCAAACTGATATAGCCTGGCTGTCAATGAAATAAATTACTTTATTATAAATTTTTTCTCAGTTAGTACATGCACAATGATTGGTCAATTTAGTGGGTTGTATTTCACTGAAAAGCTTGAAAAATTTTAAATTTTGGCTTTAATCAGAATCTTCTCCTTTTATTGGACCCTGATTATTAAAAATCTTATGAGCCTCATTTTCTCAGTCCATACTCTTAAGTGACAGAACCTTTTTTTTTTTTTTTTTTCTGGCTCAGATGTATGTCCCAAGGGAAAAAAACTTGGTCTGTAATTTTAACAGTGCAGATCTCACTCTCAGTCAATAAGAGGTCTTGATTGTATTAAATTATTCAAAATAAAATCAGCTCTTTTTTTCTCCATTGTGAACATTTCAGGTAGAGCTGACCCGGACTGTGCATTAGGCCATCTTTTGAAGACACTATTCAGAAATGATGAATTTATGGACAAACTAGTGAACTCCTATATCATGAGCACTGTGGAACAGTTTAATCTGAACTGCACTGCAGCCAGAGTGTTGTTAAATGCCATGCCTGGGCTGGAAAGTGCTGCAGTTTTTCAGGATATGGTAAGTTTAGAAAGGTATTCTTAATCCTTTAACTCCTAAGATCTGATTGTTAATTCTCTGCTCTAGCTGCAACACATTTCCTTGTGAATTTGTTACGAGAATTTGGTGTTAAATCAAGATGACAATTTCTACCTGATAAGTCTGAGTATTCTCATTACCTTTGTGCTGGATAATGTATGGATATTATGGGGAGAAGTTATCTGTTAATCACTTCTGGGAGTTAAAAGGTTTAACTTAGTAATCTTAAGATGTGACTTTCTTTCTTCAGCTTGAGTTCTATGTAAAAATCCAGATCAATGTGTCCAGTTTCTGTGGCATGGCACCCCTTGTCCTTTCCAGAAAAAATACTCAGAATTTACTCATACAATTGCTATTTCATCAAATTATAGATAGAAAATATGAATTTCATGTAGTTACACCATGAAAAACAGAAAAGGAAAAGAGAACTTATTTGTTGCTCTCAGTCACCTTACTTTAGTGCAAAAAAACTTTAAAAAAATGCAAACTTTTCAGATCCACTTTCATTGTTCCTTAATTCATAACTACATATTTCTTAAATAGAACAAGAGAGATGGCAAGGTTTAAGCTCACTAAAGAAATAGAGAAAGATGTTTTTTGTCTTGTCACAAGGCGTGTGACAAAGAAAAAAATTCTGAGTCCCCATGTTGAATTGAACCTTTTACCTTCAGATTCTGGGGTCCAATGCTCTACCACTGAGCCACAACAAATAAGATCTCTTTTCCTTTTCTTTTTTTTTCTTTGTCTCACACTTGCTAAATGACAAAAAACATCTTTCTCTACATATTTCCTATCAATAAATTTGATGTCAATCATGTACATGTAGGAAGCAATGCTTAATCGTTTATGCAAGTGGGCCAGAGAAGCCTCAGAACCCCTGAGATCATATGCTACAGGTATTTATAGCATAGTTTACTGGTCTTACTTTTCACAGTACTTCAGGCTTTGAACATTTTGGTCACCATACCAAAAACAAAAGGAAAAAAAAAAGAAAATTGAATTGACTAAATATTTAGCATCTAGTGCTCTCCTTGGGAAAATGAGATTTACCTAATTCCTGTACAGCTTCTGAGTTTCTGAACTTACTCAATTTTGTGTACACCTTTATAAACTGGGTGCAAGTAGAAGGGTGTTTTAGTTTGGTGATCCAAGGTTATTTACATTAGGTTAACCCTTGAGAGTGACTAGCATCTAATTTCTTCTTTCAATATCACCCCTGAATCAAACATTAAGATCGCGAGAACAAAGGAATTGATAAGCAACTGAAGAACCTCCTGATTGTTAAACAAATTCTCCTTGTCAGTGCATTAGGAAATGTATAGAGAACAGTATGGAGAATATGCATACTGATGCTAGGGTGTAAAGAGTTAAGATATAAATAGTCATGGTTTGATTGAGGATTCTAATATTCCTTTTGGTTCATTTTTTATGTGTATTGCTGCAGTTGCATTTTTAATTTTTTAATAATAATTATTATTTATTAACAGGTCTTTTAGCATTTGCCATGGAGAGCCAGGATATTGCTGCAGTATTCAGAGAAGAAAACTCCACCTTGGTAAGTCAGTATAGCAATAATGATTTTAGATATATGAAATTCATATAGTTGCACTGTGGTGAAGAAATAAGTATTTATAAGAGATCCTCGCAGCCAAGAACACTACTGAACTAGTAGTTGAAATAAGACCTGAAAAAAATTTTCAGGCCCGTATGGGATTTGAACCCATGACCTCTGCGATAACGGTGCAGCGCTCTACCAGCTGAGCTAACAAGCCAACTGGGAGCTGGTCAATATGTTGGATGTAGCAATTTTTAAGAGTGACCACTAAGGTTACAAGAATAAAGGAAATGATCAGCTATTAAAGAATCTAAATTCTCATTGTCAGCACCTTAAGAAATGCAAGAGAACAGTATGAAGAACATGAGTATTGATGTTAGGGTGCTGAGGGTTTTTTTGTTTTTAGCTTTGTGGTTAACAGCATTTTGTGTTTCAAACGTGTGAGTGCAAAGTTGGCTTTTCACATCTCAGGAATTGTTTATTGTCAGTCATTGCATTTTTTGTTTGAAAAACTCTTGTAAACTATAAGCTGAGGATTAAATGTTGAATTTCACATGATTAGGTTCCCTCTATGCTGCGACGGCTGCACATTTTAAAGGACTTGTCAGACCTTACACAGCCCGCTGTGACAGACCTGTCAAACAGGATTATCCTGAAAGCAAAGACAAACAGGAACAAGAGTGAAAACAGTAACAGCATGAGTAACAAGATAAAGAAAGTGAATCTTGCTGAGCCAGGACCATCATGCACTGTGCCACAGAATGGCGAGTTATCCGGTTTGTGTAATGGAGAAGTGGAAGAAGTGAATAGCTACAATGGAAAGGGTTAGTTCACTTTTGAGTATTGTAACTCAGATTGTCCCTCTGTTAGTGAGTTCAATCTCCTAGCAACTTCAAGTTGATTTAACTGTCTTTTCAAACTGAGTGGTAGGACTCGTTTGTAACTTGAAGGCTCAATTATTCTCCTTTGGGTTTTCACTTTGACAGCCAAGGCAATGCTTTCAATAAGACCCTGGCACCGGTAGGAACTCCAGCAGGTAGTCTGTAGTGAATTGCCAGGTATACGCTGGGAGCTTTCATGCAAACTTACGATGTGAGACCTAAAACGCCTTGAGATCTTGTAGAGTTCTTTCAGTCTACTTTTGCCCTTAATAAATAAGTTTTGATAAATGTTTGATATTTAATCTTATCATATATTTCAGCATAAATTTCCAGCCAAAAAAAAAAAAAGAAAGATTTTGAGTTTCCAACAAAAAACTGACTCAAATTTTGGTAAACAGTAACCATATGTCGTTTCAGAGGACTTTTTGTGTGAAACACAAGGAGGAGGCTTGTCTGTCAGCAAATGGAAGATTTTGATAATAAAATGATCAGTTAAACAATTGTTATCAAGGACTAAATTGTTTAAGAATCATCTAGGGAAGTTTGACACCAAAAACTTTGTTTGAAGGGGGGGGGGATAAGGGGGAGGAGGAAGTATGCCAAGTAGGTTTGCCCTGCACAAGTTAACTCAGTTTCCTTAAAATTTTTAAATATTTTCCTTTTGTTTCAGGCAAAAGTTGTCTACAAGCTAAACATCCATTGCTAGTTAAAACAAGCAGGGGTTTCCGTTCCACTGGAAATGTAATTTGTGCACCTAAGGGAGGGTACCACATAGTCCCTATGTCCTTTTCCCTCTCCCCCCTGACTCTTGGCATGCAGCAGAGACTAATTCTACAGTATCTGACTCCCTTGGGGGAATATCAGGAGGTATGTGCTGTAATTAGGCACTTGAGCATTTAATGATATATGAAGAACAGAGAGAGTCTCTCCACTGAAGTATGTGGGAAGCTTGTGGGAAAAGGGCTCTGAATCAAGGATAAATTGGAAATGTCACACAACTTGAAAATTTGAGTTTGGACCGTTTTAACTAGTCGTGTGCGAGCAAGAATTATTTTTTGGAGGAAGGGACATACATTGGCCTTGGTCAGAAGATAACACACTCGGATCAAGAATTCTTGATCATCTGATGCGCTTTAACTGAACGTACGCAAGCAAGAAATACTTTTTAGATGAAGGGACATAAATTGGCCTTGGTCAGACGATAATGCACTCGGATCAAGGATTTTTGATCATGTGAGGCGTTTTAACTAATTGGCGCGAGCAAGAAATATTTGTTGGATGAAGGGACATGCATTGGCCTTGGTCAAAAGTAAATACACTCAGTTCTGAATGAAGAGGTTCTACTTGAGCCGTAGCAAATTTTATCAGTTGCTGTGGCAACTAAAACAGTCGTAGCTGAGCTTGGACCATTGCTTGGCCATTGATTTATCTTGACACATTTTTCTTTGAACATTTCAACTCAGCTGTTGCCGACAGTGTTTGAATCGAAAGCCCTGGATCTTGTCATGCACTACATTACATTTAAAGGCCAGGTGGACCTACAACTTGTCTTTGAAGCCCTCAAGGTAGGAAGGAGGGAGTAACGTCATGCTTTGTGTTGTACGTCTAGAATTTCATGCAGTTACGGTTGGTTTTCACCCTCGCCGGTGTACTTACAAAAAGCGTACAGCGATATGATCCTGTGAAAATCAAACCGATAGAATCAGAAGTAAAATACTGATTCCACTTATGACTCCTTCGCTAATGATATGTGAAAAATAAATTGCTGGAGTTTTCAGCCATCGGTTAGCTCAGCTGTGATTCCGAAAATCGATTTTTCACTTGATCATAAGCGTTGGAGTTATAAGCGGAATCAGAAGAAAAGAAATTGTTCGGAATATTCGGACTCCGATTTCGTCAAGCTTTTGGCTCCACTTACGACTCCAACTCTCGATTTTCTCTGGGTGGCTGGCACTCCTACAACTAATGAACAATTCGGCTCCAATTCTGTCTTTTGTGTAAACGAACCTTTAGACACTCTACCACATTCATCCCTCTTTAAAAACACTACTTTAACTCTTCAACTCCCAGATCAAATTTGTAATTCTCCTTACTGTCAACCATAGAATTCTTATAATGTTAGTTCGGATAATTTAGTATTGGATCAGCTAATCCTGCCCGAATTAATAATTTTCTTTATTCTCATTACTTATCTGGTTGATATTGTATTGATATTGTAAGGAGAAATTCTGTCTTGGTCACTCGTGGAAGTTAAAGGTTAAGACAATAATGCATTGTGCCGACTGAGATCTGACAAAAAAAGCCTCAGAATTTAAAAGCTATTTCCTTTTATTGTCGTTTTAGTATTTGGCATCCCTCCTTTGTCATAAAAAATTTGCCACAGAATTTGTGACTCATAACGGTGCCCAGCGGTTACTAGAAGTGCCACGCCCATCAGTGGCTGCTACAGGATGTTCTATGTGTCTGTATTATCTCGCTTACAATGAGGACGCCATGGAGAGGGTAAGACATTTTTCCAATTTAAAAAAATGTTTGAAGTTTTCTGATTTGTAGTTGTAAGAAATGCATTATTTAGTACAGATTTAACTTACCAATGATCGGTGAGTTATGAGCAGACCAGTATTTTCTAAAAGAAAGAGGTAACGAGTATCATTCCGTTAAACATGAAATAACAATGAATAACACATCTCTGCTTATTTTTCAATCAATCTCCCTCCCCCCCCCTCCCCAAAAAAAAAAAAAAGCTTATTTATGTATAACATATAACCTACAGGTAGAAAAAACTTAACAGCACTTATTGCTGCATGAAGAGAGATAAAAAAGGAATTAAAGAAAAACTGGTTAAATGGATAAAGAGAATTGCAGACGAGGAGATAGAAAAAGATGAAGATAAGATACATAGAAATAATCACTCAAAAAAATGTTATCTTACAAAACTACCATTAATTCTACAAAAAAACTTCCATGATTAAATTCTTGGTGCTCTTTTTTCTACATGGGTCAGAGGATCATGAAATTAACAAACAGAATATGTCGACGGAACCTCCGTAACTGTTTCAAACAACTTGTTTCAGGTGTCCCTCCTACCAAACCCTGTGCTGAGTGACCTGGTCAAGTATGCATTGTGGCTTCTAGAATGTTCTCACGACTCTGGCAGATGTCACGCAACTCTCTTTTTCTCGCTCACGTGTTCATTTCGAGCAGTGCTGGAATTGTTCGACAGTAATGATGGTCTGCGGAAGCTTGTGAACCAGGTAATTAGTCAGTTTTATTTCTTAATTACACGACACGGTTTGGAACCCAGAGAAACGTGGATCGTGTAGTTCAATCACCTGGAGTAGGATCACACCACGAGGTCTATTTGTTCTGTGACCTTTCCGTTCTCGTAGGAGTAGCAATTTCTCTTAATAACACTCATTCGAAATATTTTGCAATACGTAAAGAAATAAAAGAACGACTAAGGTAAATATTTAATAAAATAGTGGATAACGTTGAAGGCCCATTCTGATTGGCTACTCAAACTCCGAATATCCGTTACTGTTCACCTCCAAGAAACTCGCGCGTGATTTGCGCACGGAAATATTGCAATCATCGCGGGAATAAATGAGTTAAAATCATCCCTTTTTGCTATATTATCTTACTCTTTAAGTATATACTAAAACAAATATTCACCTCAGTGTCGATGGCTGGCGGTGGATATTCACCTCGCGGCTTCGAGACTCAGTGAATATCCACCAATAGCCAGCCACCTCCACTTCAAAAAAATCACGGTTTGTTACTTTTGAAACGTAGTTTAGAGACATGCCGACCGCTATGAATAACAAGTATTTTTAGTGCACGCCGTGTTTGCATTTTCCAGACTGCGCAGTCTCATTTAAATTTTTTCAAGCCATTTTACGGTCCTATTCCACTTGCGTTTCCATCTTGAAAACAACGAATATTACTGGCTGCAAACCATTCTAAAAGAATCTTTTTTTTGTTTAACCTTGTCTGGCAGCTAAGTACGCTTTCAATCCTTCGTCCCGATGAGGCAGAACTACTGAGTGATGATGAGGTGTTTGGCAGCAGGCAGACAGCGAAACATACTTGCATGGCTCTACGGAGATATTTTGATGCCCATCTTCACATCAGGGCAGATGCGCTCAGGAGATCTATTGCAAGGAACGAGGGTGGAACACCACCAGTTCCAGTTCCAGCGTATAAGGTGAATTTCCAAGGCTACTCCCTAATTCTAGGAGAAAATTTGTATATCGTCAGATGGGCAAATTCAGTATGTTATGTTATGTAAAAGGACTACGCCTGCTCGGCTGTTTTAGTTTAGAGAGGTTGGAAGTTAACTTAAACCTGGCAAAGGTTTTTGGCAATATTCTGCTTAACATTTAATCCCATCCTTGTAAATTTTCACTTTTACCACGAAAGTTTATGAACCTCGCCTAACAAACACTCCAAATCGTCTTAAATATTTACGCAGAAGACACTGTTTTTGAATAAATCGTTTCTTAAATATTTGCTGCGTCGGTGGGAGAGTATAGCAGGTAATTTAGTGTTAACAACTGGGTTGAAGATACCTGTTTTTGTCTGGTTGTCTGTCTTTTGCCCTTTTTGTTTGTTTGTTTTTGTTTGTTTTTTGTCTGTTTGTCTGTCTGCTTGGTTTTGTTTGTTTGTTTGTTTGTTTGTTTTTTCCGCAGTTTTGTCTTTGGTAGCCAAGCATCATCATGTTCAACTGATATTGATGAGCAACTGTTCTCTTTCAGGCTGCATCCCTGTCTCACAGCAGTGTAATGGAGAACTGTCAGTTGATGTTAGAGTATGCTCCAACAACACTGCGTTGGGAGCCTGTTGAGGTAATAACTGAGAAATAACGCAAAAGGAAAAAAAAAGCGTCACATGGTCGTGGTTGATTATTTCGCAGAGGCGTATCTTGGTTTATTAAGTGGAGGGCACATAATAGCATTGAACTCCTATGTAGAGTGTTATAGTATTTTTCACAGGGACATGATACAATGTCCAGCTTCAAACTCGTAGCTTATGAAACCCCTCGATGGACACCATAACACCTACTTCCATTGCTTTGTTGTTGTTAGTCGTTATTCTCTTCGGTTTTAATATTAGTATTATCATTATTATTATTATTATAATTATTATTATTATCATTGTTATTATTATTGTCATCATCATCATAATTGTTATTACTATTATTATATTCATAAGTTTCCTAGTTTACACATACGGTTCGCTCTCAGGAATAGAGTGGAGAAGTTATTTCATTCATTTGTGTGTTTGTTCGTTTCTTGTTTTGTTTTGTTTTTGTTTTTATTTTTTCATTTTATTCACCAATGTTCATAAGCATAGACACACCTTGCCAATTTACCTATAACTAAAGTAAACTGTCTTCCGTCTGAGGTCTTTACAGTGTCAGAATGCACACATTTTCTCATTTTTATTAGGGATTTGTGGCAAACCACTACGGCCTGAAACGAGGACGTGGCCAAACAAAAGATCTAATTGCTCAGCACGTGCGTTTTAGAACTTTCTACATTTCCGTAGATGCTCTCTGCAAAACAAAAACGTGAAATCACCCAAAGTTGCGTGGTCTGAGAACGGAAACACCGATTGCAAATTAGTAAAACTTACATTTGGAACTCAACCCTGCTTACATATGTTATGCTGAAGTTGTGGCCCCGTAAGAGACGATAAACACATCCAGCCACTCGCGAAATTCTAACCAAAAGTAAAAATTCATCATTTCAGTCGACGTCTTCCTCGACGTTGCCTTCCTGACTGCTCAAGTTCGCTATTATTTAGCATGTTTTCTTTTTATCCTAAAGATGATGAACAGACTTCAAGGCTTCACCCTGCTGCTTCAGTTGATCTCCTTATCGTCAGACTGGGGAGTGACTAGTAATAGGTAAGTCATTGGTTTTGCTATCATTTCTCCAGAGTTTGTACGAGTCTAGGAAATCAGGAAAGGTCTGCTTGTAGGACTGTGCTACTGGACTTTGAAATTCTCGGAAATCGTTTCAACTCAAGGAATTGAAGTTTTTGATAATTCAAAAATCAAAATTGTGGCTGAATATTAGTTGTAAAGATTTTCTACTGCCTTCGAAAAAAAAGGTACAATTGTCGACTTATGATTTTAGTTTTGTCGATTTTAAAGATTTTACAATTTTCCTTTGCTCCATTTAATATCATCTATTGGATTGTTCCATTTCCGATTAAGTTAGCCGATTTTGCTATATTGGTGAACTCTGAATATTTACTAAGATTTTGTTTATAAACAGCTTGTTAATCCTCTTCATTCGTGTTTCGGTCCATTCAAAGCGGACGCCATCCGATTCAGATGGCGCTGTTTGTGTTGAAGTCGGTCCAAGGCTCAGATGGCCGTGTGGAGAAGTGCAACAACAGAAAGGAATGAGGTATGATCTACGGGAAGAGAATTAATTTAGACGTGAAGACTCGAAAAATTCCCATCTAAGGTCCTTCGTGATCATCAGAAGGAGTAGAAGTGTTCTTAGTCACTTTATATTAGCCATCAAATGTGGAAACATTTGGTAGCAAGAGGCCAGAAGGCTTATATACTCTATTCAGTCATATTAAGAAATATTTTTTCCAGGCTTCTGCTGCGTTGCGCTGAAGGGAGTTTACTCAATGACTCTGAGGTACAGAAAGCCGCTCTCCACGTCATTTGTAACTGTGTGTGCGGTCCTCGAGTCAGGGTAAGTGGTTTGTGCGCGTTTAGATTTAGTTCCCTCCCTCTCGCATGAATTTCTCAAAGTATTTTAGCGACAGAAAAAAAACAACAACAAAAAGGAACAAGCAAAAACAAATAAGAAACAGAGTTACAGGCGTAGTTTGTTGCTAGAGCAGGCGAAAATTCTTCATTTTGTAACTGACTTGGTAATGATAAAGTCGCTTGAAGTTGAGTCAATATCGGAGTCAACACGATAAGCTTTGCTTACCTCTACACGGTTCCTCAACCCCCTCCCTCCCCTCCCTCAACGCTGCTCCCCTCCCAATCTTAGGCTGATTAAAGTTCATTAAAGAATTGCTACTCAAACGTTAGGAATATTTGTTGAATTTAAAAGTACTTAGTGTTTAAGGCGTTAAGCTACCAGGCCGAGTGCGTTGTTCCTTTTTTCCATTTTTCCGTTTAACTACTGTACAGGCCTGATTTTTTTCAGTGTTTTTTTCAACTGCTTAAGTAGTGTTTGGCGTCACCGCGATGATTACTTTTGTCTTCATTGTTTGCAGATTAGCGGAGCTGTTGCAAAATTTCAGTCGAAATCCAAGCCGGCTTTCAAAAGCAGCGACGACATCTTATCCAAGATGTGGGGATGTGTCAGGGCCAGTAATGGCATCAAGGTTCTGCTCTCCTTACTGATGGTGAAAACGCCATTGGTTGATGCAGATTGTATTCGTGCTCTGGCTTGTAAAGCGTTATGTGGTTTATCGAGGAGCGACAAGATTAGACAAGTCATTGGAAAACTACAGCTGTTTAACAGCGGCCAGTTACAAAGTGAGTATTGCACTGCGCAGTGCTTTCTTCACACTTGTCCAACCATGTATATTATACAACTGGGCGTGCCCGTGGGCAAGATGAAGCGAGTCCTGTGTTCTGATAGATACCTGAGCTCTCATCCGCTTGGGGTATCACGCTTTTATCTCGCGCAAGATAAAAGGTTGCGTTGCGAAGACTTACAAAGTTTGTAATGTTTAGCCAACGTCGGCAAAGAAGTCGTAAAAAGCGATAGAGGACGGTCAAAACACTTTTTCAAATGTAAAACGAGCACTCACCATCACAGATGGCTTTCTTTTCCAGCGCTTAAAAGAAAACAAGTCATTCTTGATTCTTATATAAGCAGAATAATTTTGCTATGTAGTAATTCCTTCATTGAACAACTTAATCAGTCAAGAGCTTTTGTCTAGTTCAAGACTCTTCGTCTCAGTTCACAAAAGCGCCAAAAAGAGCTCGCCAAATATCCAGCTATCTTGACGTATTTACAGCCATGTTGACCTTCTAAAACATTACTTCATTTCTTTCGTTTACGTTGACTCAATGTCGTTTGTCTCGAATTTGTTGACAGTTTTGATGCGAGAGCCGATCATTGAGGATAATGCTTCTGACCACGCCCTTTTCTGCAAATATGCTGCTGAGCTACTTGAAAGAGTCACTGGTAAATCCCTGGCTACGTCCTCTGCAGTCCCGTCCCTGTCTAGAATAAACAAGGTATGAACTTGTAATTGACACAACCTATCGTCTCACACAGGGAGGGCGGAGACCTTCAACAGCGTCTTTACTCGACAGTTTACAGCTCATTAACTTTTGTTTGAACGGCAAACTTACGGTAAAGTCTAATTTCGATTATTAAAATTTTGCTTAAATAATGAACAATCGATGATTTTGATTTGAAGAATTTATCAGAATCTACTTCTTTGTATTTCTTGTTTAAAAATGGATGGTCATCGAGATTGCCTTCAGGCTTTCTCTGTTTTTCAGAGGAGGGGAGGAGGGACACCATCAGTTTCCCTGCCATCCCCTCCCAAAAGAAAACATTTGATCGTAGGTAAGATGGTCACACTATCGGTTTTCATCTAAATACTTTTAAGTTAAGAGGAAATTTAGAAATTAATGCTTTCTAGAGCATTATTAGAACAGCCCAGTAAGAAATCATATGTAAATTTAACAGTTTTAGAGTTTGAATTGTCCTTTTACTTCTCTTACCCAATAGCTTCTGTGGGGTCTGTGGGGTCGGTTTTCTTACTTATTTCGATGTTCTCCTAAGTAGGACACTTTCAAACCCTGTACAGCCCAATAACTAAATATCAGCCTTTACTTTCTTAGGCTGATGTTGTTGCGCAGACTCATATTTCATATCCGGCAAAAGAGCTTTTACAACTGGTTCACAGTCACCTCACAACCCAAGGTTTGTTGTGGAGCGTCGAGGAGCATTAAGAGAAAATCAGGTCAAGGGGCGGAATCACAAACTGAAGAATTTCCCTTTAAACCTATTTTTAGATCACACCCCGCTTCATAATATTTCACTCTTGAAATTTAGACACGAAAGTCCCAAGTCATCTGACAGTCCAACAATTATGCAGAGCTGGATTATTTCTATAATTTAGTAGGAATAATCTTTGTTGTAAGGCCTCTTTGTAGTTAAGTCTCTGCTTCTTATTTTGAGTGTCATATAGCAATCAAAACAACCAATCAGAACGAAGAAAAATATCACGTGGAGCCAATAAGAATTTAAGGTAAAAATAAACAACCTTCTGAAGCGCGGGAAAACGCGGGCGACAAAATCGCAACTGGTTTTAGTTTTGAATCTGATTGGTTAAGAAGGTGGCGTGAGTTGTCTAGATCAATTACAGCCCTTAGCAGAGCAAAGGCGAAGCGTCCCAGATTACTTTGGACACTCGAATTAAATTTGTTCTAGTCTTGAGGGTGTTTGGCTCATTTGTTAATCAAAGGTGTGGTTGTTTTGGACTAGGACTTCATGAGACTGCAGAGGTTTTACGGAGAGAAGCCAATCTACCTGACCCAAAACCTGAATCAAATCTGCTTTACACGCCTACTAATAGGAAAGTATGTGGTGCATGTTGTCTTTGTTAAGTGTATTCTGTGATCACAAGGTCCCTTGATTCATGAGGAAAATACAATCATCTTGTAACAGCGATCGCATTTTCTAAAGTCATTTAATAATGGCACGAGTCTGCGTGATCGGGTTATGATGAAAATGACCAAATTTGTCCTTTTTTTTCTGAAATTCTTCTGTGAAATTCTTTTACAGGGAAAAGAATCGACAAATTAAGTCAGCCCATCTGTCCTTCATTTCATCATTCCATTCCTTTGTCCACCAGTCCATTAGTTAGTCAGCCGTTAGTAAGTGATTGAGCTTGTCACTCTACCAGTCAGTCAGTCGATCAGCCCATCCGTTAGACAGTCTGTCGGTCAATTTAGTATTATCAACTGAGTTGATAACGTACATTGGCCACCATAAAGGGTAAAGCTGACATTTCGAGTGTTAGCTCTTCGTCATAGCGACTGATGTAGGGTTAACGCCAGAAACGTCAGCTTTTAAACTCTTTACGGTGGCCAATTTACGTTTACCAACTCAGTTGGTAATACTGAATTACTTTGCTATTCTCTCCCACCGACGCAGCACCACAGCGCTTCTTTAGAAACTTGCCCCCTTTATTAGTCTGTCAGTCAATCAGCCCGTCAGTCAGTTAGTTTGTTTGTCAGTCTGTCAGTTATTCCGTCTCTGTCAGGCAGTCAGTCAATTAGTCAAACAATCCGTCTGTCAGTCATTCCGTCTGTCCGTCAGTCAGTCAGTCAATCAGCCCGTCAGTCAGTTAGTTTGTTAGTCAGCCGGTCTGTCATTGCGTCTGTCCGTCAGTCAGTCAATTAGCCCGTCAGTCAGTTTGTTAGTCAGTCTGTCTGTCACTACGGCTGTTCGTTTATCAGTCAGTCGGCTTGTCCGTCCATCAGCTAATCAACCAGTAAATCGTTCAGTAGGTTAGAGCTCGCTTGTTCGGTCAGTCGATCGGTCGATCAAGTGAATCAGGCGGGCAAGCAGTCAGGCTCATAATGTGGATCGTATCTCTTCGTACAAGACTAACCGTATGCTTACCGTCATGTCCCATGTCACTGTACACAGGTTCGATTCAATCACTCCTCAAGCCTTTCTATGGCCTCCTCTGGTGTGAGCACTCCCGGGACTCCATCCCTGACGCGGTACCGATTCAACGACCCTGGAACACCAACAGGAAAGGTAATAACAATGTTTAGATGATTGAGCGGTCAGGATAACTGTATCTGAATGCTGATCATAATTTTGGCGTGTGCTTATCCCACCCCTGCCATAAGAACAAAGAAATTCATGGAAAGAGTCTTTTTTTAATCTCGTGTAAATTTATTTGTCGAAAAGGATAATAATTTGTTGATTATTACGATATTATTATTTTATTAATGTTTTGTGTTACAATATTGTTTATGATACGTCGATCAATTTCTTTGTCTGCATGTTTGTTTTGGTCAGCGGCTTCTACCTTCCGATCTTTCTCGCCCTGCACGCCCACCGTCACCTCCTACGTTGGACATGATCGTGACGCGGTATCTTCGCGAACAGCATGCGCAGTGTAACAATCCTGTGTCCGCTGGCCCTCCATTCTCCTTAATACGGTAAGTCATGTATGCCAGAGCCAAAAACGTCTGAAAAAGTATTTCAGCTTGTTTGGAGGATAGCCAGTAGTTTCATTAAGAGTTTCTTATGCGCATTCCACTCTTGCTTAAATATGGTATCGTAGTGCCTCCCGTTAAGATTTTAAAGGTGCAAAGTTTCTAAAGAACTGTGGTGCTTTGTTGTTTGGAGAGTTTAAGAAGGTAATTTGGTATTATAAACTGAGTTGATAACGTAAATTAGCCACCGTTTATAGTTCCGAATTTAACGTTTCGAGCGTTAGCCCTTCGTCAGAGCGATGACGAAGGGCTAACGTTGACTGAAGTGGTGACCAACTCGACTTATAATACCAAATTACCTCGTTGAGATTTTTTACGAATTTTGTACGACCCCTAAGTAATCACCACCGCCTATCTCTTTAACGGTAGCTACTTATATAAAAGGTTTGTGAAACCCTAAACTCCTCCTGGTAGACCGGTAGGTGAGTAAGAATTATTTCTTGCCTACAAGGTTTTCTAGGTCACTAGACGAATAGACTTTCTCTTGTTTTGTTTTGTTTTTTTTTTACACTCCCTTACTGTTTTTATGTATTTGTTTCCTTTTTTTTAACTGTTTCTCCGAATGTTTGCCCGTTTATTTAAAACAATCAACTTATTCCGATTTGTCTATCGTCAGACCCCACAAATGCCCTGAACCAAAGTACAGATATTACGCACCATCGAACATGACGACGAGGTTAAAGCGAAGAGAAGTATGTATATTGCTATTGTTCTTAGCTTCAAACAAAACTATTTTGCCACGGTGGCGGACAAAGGAAACACTTATCTCATCATCATAATAGGTCGTTCTGATACTCGTGTCAGCTCCTATTCCAGAGTGATCTCCCTCAACATTTATCTGTACTCAATCTTGAAAAATGTTTTCCCACTTGAAGGTGATTCCGCGTCATGGCGGATTTAACGGCGCCAGACTAAACAGACGGTTTGTGTACGGAAGGTAGGAGATGCCTTATTTGTACTTCGTATCGCTTTATTAGAAATTCTTAATGTTTTTTTAACAGAATCATTGTAACCTGATTCTCAGACCCCTGTCCACACGTAAACGGTATTTCTGAACACAGGTGACGGAGGTTTCCATGATCTCTCAACAGAGTGGATTTTTCGTGTTTTTCAAAAGCGCCGGCTTATCGTCTTCGCGTCGACCAAAAGAAGTGGAGTTTTTCACGTGCAAGGACGTGACACTAGTTGATCTCCTTTTGAAGTCTTTTATTTTCAGTTTTATTAGCAGAGACGTTTGGACTCAAGGAAACGATTCGAATATGCCAAGTTTGCTCAAGATAATGTTCAAGATAATGTTCCTCTAGAGAATTCTGACGCATTTTACCGACGAAGTTTCACAATTAGTCGTTGATTGTGTTAAGTTTAGTTCTCGGTTGTGTCTAACTGTGTTTTTCTCCATTAGATTTAAACCGCTCAGGGCCATTCGCGATACCGAAGAAAACAGCTTCTTTACATGTGCATGTTTTGCAGTAAGTCTCTCTGTTAAGATTAAAGCCAGTTGAAACTGAAAACCGATTTTTTCAAATGTTTTTACGTTGAACAAACCGTAACACAGTTCCTCAGACATCAAATTTACTCCTTAAAAATTTCTCTTCAGGGCTTGACCCTTTTCACGCTAACATCAGTATGCATATTCTCCTTACTGTTCTCTATGTAAGTCCTAAGGTGCTGACAAAGAGAATTTGTTTAACAATCAAGAGCTTCTTATTTGGTGATCATTTTCTTTATTCTCGTGATCCTAATGTTTGCTTCAAGGAGTGATATTGTAGAGAGAAATTAGACGCTGGTCACTCTTAGAAGTCAAACGGTTTGAACCTCTTGTTTGTGTCGTTTGCATTTGGCTGATTCTTAGTAAAATGGAAATTATGATTTTTTTTCTACCCGTTGGAATTATCCTTACTATAGTTTAAAAAAAAAGTAGTGGCTTTTATGAGGTCATGTAAACGTAGTACCTAAGTTTTTTACTTTTTCTCCTCAGCCCGATGGCAAGTCTGTTTTACTTGGAACACAAATAGGCGAGTTGAAGGAATACAACTTAATAACTGGACAGGTACAAAACTCAATTTACACCTTTTTGATTGATTTTTTTTTTTTTGGTTCTTTTTTGGATTTAAACCGTTCAGTGCATGATTTTCATGTTCATTTTTATTTTATGTATTTATTTTTAAAAAATGATATTTTGCAGGAAGAGGCGACTTATCTCTGTAGCGCAGACAGAGCAATTTCCATGTGCCAATGTTCAAAAGTAAGAGTACAACATGGATGTTTCCCTCCTCATATAGTTAAAAATACCTTTCTTTCTACTTCGAACAGGTCGAAAGTTTCATTAATGTTTTTCACGTTTTTTGGGGGGGGGGCGCACCCACCCCTCCCTTCCCCAACCCAACAACAGTCAAATGGTAACAAGTTATGTTCGATGTTGGATTTCTTTCCACATCCACACAAACAAGGCAGCTCCGCTATTGCTTTTAAATAACTTAACGTTCGGTCAAATCCAGTCTTCTTGTTAACTGTTTAGTTTCCATATCTTTCGCTGAAACCAATCAACCCTCTTTATTCATCAATTTTGCAGCGCGTTTCGCAACGTTATGAACCTTTCTAAGGCTTATGTGAACCTTTTAGGTTGTGTTCACGAATTCATTTATCACTGAAATTGTCTTTCTGTTCTTCATTCTTCAATTTTTAGGACCGCGAACTTTTATTGACATCATCTTCGTCTGCTTTGCCTCCCTGTGCTCTTTGGTCATTTGGAGACGTTTTCGAAATGAAGTAAGTCTTTGAACTTGAAAACCTGTTTGATTCGTACCACTAGTGCATCTGATAGGCACGTCCTTGTTTGTGTCCCTGCTTGATTTATATGTATCTCACCTTTAACAAACTACAATGTTTGTCGCAGAAACATAAAACAAACACATACTTCACTATGTTTTACCATTAATTTTTATTCACTTGACTTTCGCTGAAATACAAGAAGAAGTTTTACATTATTCTGTCAGAGCTACGACTTTTACAGAAGACACTTAGACAAATTAATTTCATAGATTACAGGAGACGAGCAATGATTCCAACTTAATTCACCTGCGGCAATTGACGCCCAAGATCAAAACAAGCATTATGGGAAATAATTTTGGTGTATGTCATGGCTTGTATCCTATAATCGGATTGGTGTTAATAACACGGTGACAGTAGGCGAACTATAATATTTTGTCGTTACATTTATCTCTCTATTTGATAAAAAATGTTATTTACTTTCTAATTTTATTTGTTTCTCTTTGGCTCAGACATCCATTTAGCGAAGACACCTGGGTAAAGTTTAGTAATTTATCAGAAGACAGAATTATTGGCACACACGACGCTACTGCGCATGTGAGTTCAAGACGTTTGATGCATTTTCACTTCTAAATACATCACGATCAGCCTTAGTTTGACAAATTGTCGCTGTTCATCTAGAACATTTACAAAAGGAAAAATAGATCAGCGAAATTGCTACTGCGTGAACACGGGATAGCAAGATAGAATCACCAATTTCGCCCAAGTTTGTACACGATCATTTTTTGTCTCGAATACATGGACTTTTAAGAAGTATTTTTAGCTCGGACTTCATGGCCAAGATCACTTTTCTGCGCCTCAGTTTACTTGTTCTGAGACCCCTTGGCTGTGTTTGATAATTTTTTAATTTGCTATTTTGATATGCTTCAGAAACAACTTTGGTTTTTCTTTCAAGTCACTCAGTTGAAATACGCCTTTTGAAACATTAGTCAAACTTTAAGGCGCCGAACTCGAGATTTTTATCGGTAGATCGTTGATAAATTGGAGGCAAAGCCTTGTGATTACCTTAGTAAAGGTTGACCAATGTTTTCTTGTATTTGATTCAGGTTTTTTTTTTTTGTCGTTTATTGCTTGTGGTACTTCTCTGCCAAAACACCCTTTTTATTTCTCGATAACTGCGAACATTAGAATGCAGTTAGAGTGTGATGATATTATTCACTAGATTATATTCAACCATCAGATTTACGACACTGCGACAGGTCAGCGGGTACTAACTCTGCACGATTCCAACAACACTAACAACTACTCAAAGAACCTCGCCTCCTTCAATCCCACGGACGACCTGGTACTGAACGACGGTGTATTATGGGATGTCAAAGGCAAACGGGTTATACACAAGTTTGACAAGTTTAACAACTTTGTCAGCGGCGTTTTTCATCCCTCTGGGCTGGAGATTATCATCAATTCAGAGATTGTATCCTTTTTTTTTGTTTTTAAAGAACGAGCCAATGCTAGACTGTAAAGCAGTGAGTCCAGATTCGCGAAAATAACGGAACACAACGTCGGCCTTTCACGGATCTCGAAAAATCACTCTACCTCCTCCTTCTTACTTTGACAGTGAATTAGGAGAGAGATAGATATCAAGGACTATTATTTCATAAGAAAAGTTTATTGTTTCCTCATTTTGAGCGTTTTCGTGAAGCAATACACAGTCACCTGACTGATCCACTGAGCATAAACTTATGTCTAAATATCCTTGGTGATTTGCTGGCCAATTTACATCATCAACCTAGTCGATAAAACCAAACTATCTTATTTCCCCGCCCTCACAACTGACGTAGCACTACTGTTTCTTGTGACACTAACCCCCTAGAATGTCCAAAGCAACTCATTTCAAATAAACCGTGTGCCTTTTGCTTTGCCAATAATCCTTGACGCTAAAAACAGTGGGATCTTCGCTCTTTCCATTTACTGGACACGTGTCCTTCACTAGATCAATGTCACGTGATCTTCAATAACTGTGGTGACGTCATGTATGGGGGTAATTTCATGTTTACTTGTTTACACACTTCTCAAATTTGTTGATACTTTATTAATTTTTCACGAAGGAAACCAGACCCGACATTGAGGTTTTAGTGCGTCCAAGTCGTGAGCTTTTAGTTGCGATCTATATGTCATCTCGATATTCAAATTCAAATTGAGAGCACAGAATACTCATCCGGGATTATGGTTCCATAGGTTTTTAGCAGTTTATAGACATCCAAAATTGCGTAAGGAAATTTTTCAACTTTTCATCAATTATTTAGCAATTTTTGCGGTGTTTGGAAAAGTGAAAGAGCTCTAGCTCTTTTATTCCACTCATAACCCTAAAACTTCCGGTTCCATTCTTTCCAAGGTTGGATAGCGCTATCCACTAGAAACTCTATCCGTCGGATAGCGTTATCCGCCCTTTACATAGCTGGGCCCTTAGAGAAAAGTCCCTCAGAGCCTCTGATATCTCAAAAAATGAAAAAAAAAATGAATTCTGGACTGAAGGGAACGGTATTTGTTCTTCCGTATTTTACAGTAAAACATCTTTCGGATCCTTTGGAAATACCGCTAGCTTCCAGGCTCCTTGGACCATACGAGACCTCGTTCAGGACCTTTGACGCAACAGATTATCAACCAATAGGTGAGCAGGAGGGCTTGCTACAAATTTTAATTGAAATTTTTTTTGGCGCTCGTTATCAGTTAATTTGAAATATCTTGACGTTTACGAAATGAGTGAGAAAATGATGTTGGAAATTTCAATTGCTTTCAAACAGCTACAATCGACGTTAAGAAGACAATATTTGATTTGTGTACCGATATAACTGACAGCTTTGTAGCCGTTATTGAGGTAAGCTTAAAAATCGGAAACCTCTGCCTTGTTTTGTTTTCCTCCCTTCCATCCTTCTTCTTTCATTCCCATCCTCTTCCTCTCCCGCTCCTGCTTAACTTCCTCTTTTCTCTTATTTTCTCCCTCTTCTCCGACACTTCTTCAGAGGTAAGAGGATTTTTGTGATTTCTATGAAACTTTAAATTCAATTTATCTTGATCGTAAGACCTGAGCCGATTGGTGCGGTTTAGCTCTACTTGTCAATCACTAGCCAAACTGCTTCCTGATTATCTTGCGGGAAAAACAAAAGAGGGTGAACTCTTTCGAAGGCGTAGTTGACAATTCCGATTTCATTCACGAGGAAGCTCCCTAGAAAAACCGTATTTTTTAGAGCAGGAAGCGGCTGTAGACAGGTTTAGGGAATCTCTCAAGTGTTCATCAGAACATGGAGTGTCTCGCGCATTACGAGGGTAGCAAAAAGTCTTAATTTCCACACTGGTCACTGGAAAAGATCTGCTGGCAGTGTTACCCACTGGTTTTTTTAGGAAAAGCTTTCTATTTCAGATGCTGGTTAGCTTTAAAACTAATTATAAAACAAACCTTCGAGTGCAGAAGTGTGTCTGCTTCAAAGCACCGTTTACGATCAAATGGAAGAAACATCGCCAAAGGGATTAACGGAAGCTACACCCAAAGAACATAGGATGCAGCGAATATCAGCTCATATCTGTGTCCTCGGAAAAGGTTACGTCGAAGCCATTTGCCTCTGCGCTGAAAAAAAACTGCCTCACAGTTTCACTCATCCGCTCTACGCTTCTTTTTTTTTCTTCTTTTTTCTTTTTCTTGTGGTTACGGTTACTTGCTCAATTCCGAAAATGCGGTGAGGCACAATTAGTCATGGGGTGTTTCGCTTTTTAACAGCCTCTTCGAGCAAGCGTCTTTTCGCCTTTCACTGCCCCCTCCTTCCACTTTCCACTCAAACTCTAAGTCAAACATGGCCGGTGAAATAATCGATCGCGAACTTCTTAACGTTAACTCGCCCTAATATAACGCCTGCACTGCAAGTTCAGGAGCTAGCAATAATCCCAGCTACCTCATGCCACGACAACTGGGAGAAACTTTGGCAATGCGAACCATCTGACTGGCTTTAATTGTCATTTCATGACTGCATAAGTTGCAAACTATCATCGTAAAGATCTTGTCATCATGTCATAACAGTTCACGTGAATTATTTCATATCATAAATTCGGTAACGTTCTTTTTTAGAATCAGGCCAGCACCGACGAAAGCGTTTGCCGGGTGTACGAAGTCGGGCGGCTGCGTAGGGCTGATGACGAGGAAGAGCAGGTATGAGAATCTTAAGGACTTTCACATCAATATTCGTAGGAACGGACCAATCAAAGAGATGTGAAACCGCCATCTTGGATGCGGATTCGGTTATGTGATTGGTTCGTGCCTTATTTGCATACAGAATCCTGCACTTTGTTGGCGCCCCCTGGCACTAAAGCAGAGATGAACTTTAAATTATTTTTGGAACATACTTCAAAAACACGTCACTTAGTGCAACACGTGTTTGATGTAGGTCAATAAAATAACTACTCCATGCCTTTTTTCTCTTAGGAATCCGACGAAGGTGGCGAGGAAGATGACGATGTCGATGACGATGATGATGAAAATGATGATGATGACGATGACGATGATGATGATGACGACGAAATTGAAATCACGATATCTGGCGATGATGATTCGGATGATGACAGTGATATTGCAATTTTTTGAAGCGCGGCTTTTAAGTTTCCATCTTTCAGTTGTTAATTCAACTCAACAATGAGCACGTCATTCTGCTATGTTTTTATCTTTGAAAAATGTACTTGTATCACACAATTTGGGAATGATAGTTTAAGCTTGGAGTTGAGGTTCTTGACGGCGGAGTTTTTTTTATGTAAAATGCTATGTAGCAGAAAGTAGAAGTCATCATCGAAAAAATTACACCCATGTTACTGATTATCAAATAAATAGGAAGGATGGAATAGTTTGTTATTCCTCTTGTAATGCAAACAAGCCAGCAAAGGACTACTCGCCACAGAGTTACCACTTGTCGATATCTTAACCTTGGTGAAACAGCTAAAAGTCTGTACTTATTGCAGTCAGTGTGAGGACATACACGCCACAGAAAATGACCCCCAAAGTTCGGTTGATCAGCGAGCCCTGGTAACAAATTGCAGAGTGTCCTTGGGAAATTATGTAAGGAAGATGAAACGACTGGAAAATGAGTTCAACACTGATATCAGTGCATGCAAGATTACTGAACAAACATTTTGATGGTTGATGAAGGGAAGAAATCTTGCAGAGAGGGAAAAGAATGAGACCATTTCTCACAATGGCTGCAATAGAAATTATAAGATCCATGACGAAACAAACATAATAAGACTTCGATCATATCCGCCCGTGAAGCAACGAAATTGATCAATTCTTGTTTGGTTTGTATTTTCTGTGAGGTTCTCCATGTTATTTTATAGCAGTTACCACTCTTTCATTGCTAAAGGCGTTGAGAACTCTCCTCTTGAACACCACACTGAACATCGAAAGAACGAATATAGTTTCCGAAATGAGTAAGTGGTGATGTTTAAGTCTCTCAAGCCATGTAAGACTTTCAACTGCAGAAGGGTGGTTTTCTATATTCAAGAAAAACAGGGTTGAAGGGTTTTCGGTCAATATCATTTTTTCTTTTCCTATGGTGATTTTCCAATATTTCGTGTGGCTTATTTCTTCATTTTTACTTCAAAAGAAGGATGGAGGTAATTGTTTCTTTTCAGCTGGCTATTTGCGGTGGTAACACTTTTTCCGCACACCACAGCCTACTCGTTTCAAAGCAAATTTTAAAGTTGTGTTTTCTCTTTTAACCCTAAACCCTAATCGAATTCATTCAGAGGAAAAAGTAATATCGAGCTAAGATTTTCACGAATATTTTTTAGCCTTGCGCTTATGTTTTTCGCTAAGTTAAAGAGTACCTCTACTCCCTAACATATCCTGACGTGCCGGCAAATTGGCTCTGGCTAATGAGTTCTGAATTTAGGGAACACACTCGTGGCAAAATAATTAATTTTTCAGAGAAGTGAGAATTGCAGTAAAGAAGACAATCAGAGCGTTTTGTTGTTGTTTGTAGCCCAGTGATGTCTTTATTTATGAGAATTGACCACGATGTTCTTTAACATCAGTATATTATGCAAATTTTTTCATCTAAAAAGCACTTGCTTATCATAAAAGAACCACAAATATGTTACCTTAACAACAAAACGAGCATAGCTAAGAAGGGCAAAGACACACAAGGGTCAGGAACTGAAAAGAAAAGCTGACTTGTTGAGAAAGCTCTACAAAGTATTGGCGAAAAATAATTCACAGATTCTACGTCATTTAGTATGTTAAATAAATGTGGCACCTGCTTACTAAACATAATGAAAATTCAAAGAATATGAAAAAAACACGAAAGAGTTAAAAACAAGTCTAATTATAGCTGTGACATTTGTCATCGGAAAATCAGACGCAGGAGGAATTTTTTATCCAATAGAAACTGTTAAAATTCTCAACAAAGCAATAATACTCTTATATCGAATAGGGATCGCCCAATAAACGTTCATTTGCTGCCAAAAGAGGGAAAGACAGAGCCACAAGTCTGAACGTGAGCGCCAATGGCGACCCTCACAAGTCAGTTATCTTCACAATTACCAATTGGAGTAGTAGCATTTGTCCTCGCTTTCAACATTGTCCTCTCCTTCATTGCATCTTTTGGTAACGCTCTGCTTCTATTAACATTTTATAAAGTGTCCTCTTTGCATCCCGCTGCAAAGGTCTTGTTTGAATGTCTAGCCGTTACCGATCTTTGTGTGGGTCTTTTTTCACAACCTCTGTTCGTGACTGTTTTATTTCTTTACATTGATCTTGGTAACACCGACATAGATATTGTGTATTACGTCGAAGAGGTTGTTTGTATATCCAACTATGTTTTGTTTGGAGTGACTGTACTGATATCAACAGCTATCAGTGTTGACAGACTTCTTGTTCTGTTATTGAGGCTGAGATACAGACAAGTTGTGACACTAAAGCGAACTCAAGCTGTTATACTTTTATGCTGGATGATTGCTGTTTTATGCGGATTGGTTCGTGTCTGGAGTCAAACGGTTTCGGAGATTGTTGCTTTTGTGGCCGTTGTGGTATCTCTGGTTACTTCCGTGTTTTGCTACGTAAAGATCCACCTAAGATTACAGCGGTACCAGGCTGAAGTAGAAGACAACCCTGGCGAAGGACGGTCAAATGCAGGAGAAGAGATAGGAGCAGGAAAAGATGAAGCAGGCGCAATAACGGGGACAAGAACAGCCACAGAAGAAGGAGCAGGAGTAAAAGGTACAGGAAGGGGAAGAGTACGTGCATGGACAGCAAAAGGTTCATCAAAACAAAGATTAAACGAAAGAGTTCAACTAAACATCAAACAATATCAGAAAACAGTTTCCAGCATATTTTGGGTGCAGTTGGCTTTAGTGGCATGCTACACCCCTTTTATAATTGTGTCGATATTGAGACATACAGTACTTGGTGGATCAGCAATTCATGCTCTGTGGCTCTGTACGAAAACTTTAGTTTATCTGAACTCATCTCTGAATCCCTTTCTTTACTGTTGGAAAATCACAGAAGTGAGAAAGGCAGTAAAGGACACAGCCAGGGCGTTTTCTTGTTGTTCGTGATTCGAGGTCGCCTGTATTTATGTGGAAAAACTTCCGTGTCCTTAAAGAAATAATTTTTTGCGAATTTTCTTATTAATCAATAAGGAATCATTGAATGCTGACAAGCAATTGCACCTACAGAGTCGAAAACTCTATTGCAATATGAGGAGGAATACAAATTTCTTTTTCTTTTCCATGTTCTCTTTACAGGAAGGAGAATAAGAAGAAGAGGAAGACATAACATCAATTAGTCTCTTTTTTTTGCCATGAAATACAATGAGATATTGATTGAGAATTGATTCTTTATCTATTTTGGACGGGTTTCTAATATTTATTTAAAGATCGCCCATGCATAAACAAAATTACTAAATAAACATTAATTGTGGACTTGTCTTTGCTCGATATGCCCTGTTCTCTCATACGTAAATCTAATAACTCGCATATTGACTAAACAAACCGTTTTCAGCGAAGTGCGAAGCAACTTTGTCGAATAAAACCTTAAAAGAGTCTACCCCGTACATTTGTGCGGCCCCTTTAGTCCTATTGCGGGCGGCGCTTTTAAACAAGTAAGGTTGTTATTTTCTTTTCCTTTTTCGCCGCCTCAGTTATTGCTGACTTCTCTATACATACAGTCACAGTGAACCACTGCTTTATTTTGCATTTTTGGCCTCTTTCAGCTGACTTTTCCCCACAATCAGGAGGAAAATCCTCAAGATGAATATGTCTAACCTTTATTTTAAAATGCGTCATGCTTGAATATCAAATAAGACTAAATTAAACATCTCACAAATTGAGGAAGCCACAAAAATGGCTGATTGGTAATTAAATGGCTTATATTTTGGTATTAGTAAATTCGAGAATAATAAAAAACGAGATTTAGCCAAGAACTTTAACTTTATGATGAAAACACAAGCGCGCGTCTCAGCCCTTATCAATGTTCAACAAATTTTTTTTTCCACAAACAGTTCACATCTGCTTCCAAAAACAAAGCGTGAAATGTGTAATGATGTATCACAAATAAATCATTCACACGAGCTCTAGAATATACTCTAGGCCATTTTGACAATAGTCTTGGTTTTAAGGGCGTGATGAATGACTCAATAGCTTAGTCATGAAAACCGGTTACGCTCACACAGAAAGGCACAATCCGTCTCCTGACGGTTTTCAAGAGGTATTACGTGTTTACTTATCAGTACCTGTTATAGTATTTAGCTAGAGACTGGCAAATTGGGTCATCAGGCTTTCAAATACTTTATTCTTAGTCGCATAAATAAACCGTTTTTAGTTGACAGATATGTCAGCCTGCTTGTTTTGATAACACCAAGGGTAATAATATATGATTATTGACACACTTTAGTTATTGCTGTGCGTGTGCTGGTGTTTGGTGGCCAGCCAAGACCTTTCGAATTTATTTATATTTCCTTTATTGACATGAATTTTACAAGATATGGATAGAAAAATGATTCATTTTCCAATGTTGTCTTTTCTGAAATGTTTGCATTATCACAATAAGTTGCGATGCTAATCGCTACACTGGAAATTTATCAAATGTTTATCATTTCTTAACTCTTCACCGAGGTAGATTTAACTAGAGGTGGATATTTACCAAGCTGCGAAGCGGAGATGTAAACACCCACCTCTTGCCACCGCACTTAAATGACTATTTGTTTTAGTGTATACTTTAATACTATGAGATAAAATGATGCAAAAAGATGATTTTGATTAATTTATTCCTGCAACAGTCTCAACTTTTTTGGGCGCAAATCCCGTGGAGGTGAATGGAGAAGGATGAGCGAAGTTACGTTTTAGTGATTACTTTTGGGTTCTTTATATTCATTTTGAGTGGGTCGAAATATGTCAGATTTTCGGAAGGTTCAAATAAAAACATACTTAAATTTAATTTTGTGTACAAAAATCTCAAAACCCTATCTAAACGATAAATACTTCCTACAACGTATCCTCAACAGCCAAATAGACAAATACCGCAATAAAAGACATGAACCAAAATTGTGTAGATCGACGTCAGAGTCCCTACTGATCTTTTATCGACGATCGTGGTTTTACTTCACTTTAATTTAAAGGACACTCCACGTCTCAGAAAAAATTATTGTCTTCGCCCAGCCTTGAACTGGGAAAGAAATCTGAAGCTTAGCATCATCCAATAATATTCAGTAAAGCAAGATTGAGGGGCATATGAAAAGTCATTTACATATATTCTGAATAAGACAAGTCATGGAACAACCGCTTGTGGCACTCTGGATTCAAAGACCAGAGGGTCAGAGAACTCAGAATTTATGAGCACTACTTGTTGTCTATCAGATGGATTAATGATGAACTAAGCTACACCGAAATGCCATCGTTAATCTTGGCAAAGGCCTTGCTCACGTCAAGAAACACAACGAGAAACAGTAAGAAAATAACCGCAGTTGCCTGTTTCTCTAAAAAATCAGCACAGTTCTCCCCACGATAAAAGTTGAAGTAATAGGTTAGGCAATGTTAGCTTTATATGTAAGTGCTCGTGGCAAAAACAAAATTGAAAAATGATTGAATGAGAATCCATTGTTATAATGGCTCGACTGTGTTTTGAAGGAGCCTAAATGTCATTTTAGTTTATTGTGTCCATCAGATGTACAGTTAGATTTCCTCGCCCTACCCTTTTTCTCCCTTTTGTCTCTACTCTTATTAATGACATTTTATGCGCATATGCCTTTGTTTTGCTTAAAGTGGTCTGATCCGAACCAGCAATTTTGCTGCAACGAATGGAGTAAACAAAACGAGTTTAGCTTATATAAGTTTACTGAAGCATTTAGAGAGTGCTTTACAACAATTTAATTATTCCTAACAGGGTAAATATTCATTGCGACTTGGGAGAGATCAACATGTCCATTATTGTTCTTCTCTTCAATGCACTTACAAAAAAATTAAGAAATATTACTTATACTAGGAACAACACTCACAAATTTACGCAAAATTTCTGACTAGACCAGTTATAAAAATTATCTTAACAGCAATTTCTTTTTCTTTTTTTTTTCTTGTCTCTATCAGCCTACAGTCAATAACAACAACAAAGCACTGACAAGTGCACCAAGCAAATAAATGGTAAACTAAGAAATGCAAAAGTGAAGTAAATAAACAAGTTTTTTTTTCAAGAAAATTCCATCTAACCTCCATTTATAAACTATGAAAATGGTTATCATCACTACCAAAGTATTAATAAAGTAAAAGTACGATAGAAACTACATCTTAAAATCAAAAGCTATGAAATATTGAGGCTGAGGTTCTCGAAATCTAAACTAAAAATTACCACAGAGTGTTATAAGACTACAACCTTGGAGGTTCAGCAATTCTGCTATTAAGCCTCAGTCCTGCACAAGAGGAGTTACTTCAGATGACTCCTCGTCTTCGTCACTTCCAGTTTCGTTATCTGCAGCAGTAAGTTGATTACCATCATACTCTTGTACGCCAGCCTCCCCGTCAAGAAGGTCTACAGCATCACTTTGGTCGTCCATATAGTTTCCAAGATCGTCTTGTTCATCCTTCGTGTACTTTAGTTGGCAAGTCTCAGGTTCTTCTTCTACTGCCTCCTTTTCAGATTGAACTGCTACAGCACCTTCATAACCAACGTTATTTTCAGGTTCACTTGTTACACCTTCTTCGTCATCAATTTGAATATCTGGAGGGAAGACGGAATCACTGTGGCCTTCTTTTTCGATCAGGGGATTGTATTCTAAAGAATCAAGATCTTCTTCCTCCATCACGCAAGGGAATGGTGAGGTATCAGGTTTGTTCACCTCATTTGCGGAGCGTGCTAAAGAATTAGGATCTTCTTTTTCAGTAACAGAAAGGCTTCCTGTGGCTTCGAAATCTTCTTCCCCAGTTACAGGGGAGCATGCTGAGTTATTGGAATCTTCTTCCTCACCCATAAGGGGGCATGCTAAAGAATCAGAATTTTCTTCGTCAGTCACAAGGGGACATACCGAAGCATCTAGACCGTTTTGGTCCATCACCAGGGAGGATGGTGAAGGATCAATTTCTTCTCCCTCAATCGCAAGAGGGCACTCGTAGTCATCAATTTCTTCTTCCTCAATCGCAAGAGGGCACTCGGAGTCATCAACATCTTCTTCCTCGTTCTCGCTAAGATATGGTAAAGTATCACTCTCCAAAGGGTACGCTTGGGCATCCATATCTTTCTTATCACTCTCAAAAGGGTATGCTGCGCAACCTTCTTCTTCTACTTTGATTCCGAGAGGGAAAGCTGTAGCACCATCGTCAATTCCAACCATAGAGGGATGTGCCGTAGCACCGTGCTTACCCACTTCACGGGCGAGATTTCCTGCGGCTGCCTCTTTGTCTTGTAAGTTAATAGCGAAGGGGAAGGCTGTAGCACCATCGTCAATTGCAACCACAAAGGGATGTGCAGTGGCACCGTGCTTACCCATTTCATGGGCGAGATTTGCTGCAGCTGCCCCTTTGTCTTGTAAGTTAATAGCGAAGGGGAAAGCTGTAGCACCATCGTCAGTTGCAACCACAAAGGAATGTGCAGCATCACCGTGCTTACCCACTTCATGGGCGAGATTTGCTGCAGCTGCCCCTGTATCTTGTACGTTGATAGCGAAAGGGAAAGCTGTAGCACCATCGTCTATTGCAATCACAAAGGGATGTGCCGTAGCACCGTGTTCACCCATATCACGGTCGGGACCTGTTGCAAGTGCTCCTTCGTCTCCTACGTTAATTCCAAAAGGGAAAGCTGTAGCGCCATCGTCCATTGCAACCAGAAAGGGATGTGCCATAGCACCGAGTTCACCCACTTCACCGATGGGATTTGCTGCAGCTGCTCCTAGCTCGTCCGCTCCTGCATCTTCTGGGTTTGCAACAGCTCCACGGTCATCGACAAAGTTGTACTTATCCTGATCATACTTGTCATCGTCAAAGATATCTACATATGTCTATGAAAAAGATTAGAAGTTAATCAGGAACTGCATGAGTTAAAAAATCTTGAACGAAGGAATTTCAAAAATGAGTCACTAAAAAGACAAAAAAAGAGCAGATCAGATATCGGTCACAAAGACAAGAACCATTAGTACTTGCATGAATTGATAGGGAAAAAATTCGGGTTAGGTCTCCCTTTCTGTCAAAGTTTTCCAAAAGTGTAATTTTAAGATCTGTTCCGTTCTTTCTTGTGTGTAGACAACAGAGGGAAAATAAGGATGATCCAGACTGACATGACGTAACCACACTTGCATATGTTTAAAAAGTAACATTGGTTCATGATGAAACTGAATTCACAAATTGTTAGCGGCTGGGTAGTTAATGCGTTTTGACATCACATTGACGTGAAAAGAAATTCGCAATTGACTTGATAGGATACCAATTTCAATTGCTAAAGTATATCCTGAATTAGACGCTGTATGGCAAACCTTTGTTTTAATATATGTATCCATTGTTTGGTAGAGCTTCACAAAGTGTGGCCGGCTGGCGCTTTCGTATTTCCAGCAGTTTAACATCACCGCGTATCTATAGAAAAACACAGGGACATATGATCACAGTAATTCCGCGATAGGCACTAATATTGCAAGTAGCAAAGTTGAGAAACCACAACTAGTTACAAAAATAACTGAAATGCTAAGTTTATCTCATTACATTGCAGCTCAAACGAATTCTGTGATGAAAAACCCACCGTATTCTTTATTTGACTCAACAACTTTTCATTTAAATTTTTGTATTGACAAGATAAGATTAATTTCTTAGGAAGACTTCTTATTCAGACCAAGAGTATCAAAAACACCTGACCACAGCAGCAATCGATATTGCTTTTGACTTATATAACATTCCACACAGAGGAAGCAACACTTACAAACTGTCGTCGATATGTTCAGGCTTTGGCAGACGATAACCTTCTTCGATTTTTTTCATTGTCGTGGATTGAGACCATCCTTCGTAAGGGATGCCTCCTGTGGAAAAATAATGTTTTTTTCTGTTCGCCAAAAAAGCACACTCTTTTTGTTGTAATCACTTTCATTCCTCTCAGGGCGATCGAAATGATTCTTCTGTGAAAACGACAATTAATTGCTGAAATAGATTTCGGTTTTACATCAGATGAAAGAGTACTGTAAAAAAAACAAATTTAAATGTAGCGATGGATTTAAGGTTTTTCAATAATGTACTAAATACTTTCAGTTCTACTTAAACTTAAGTTTTATGTCAAGTTGTTATGCATCGTCATAATTTTATTTATCAGCAACATTGAGTACTGCTTCAACTTCTCTATCGTACAATGCTCTTTTGTTCGCTCGGTATCACTCATCAATTAGTAATTGTGCGTGCAATCTCGGCAGGTATATTTCCTGAATGTAAAGTAACAAACAAGTTAAGTACCGACAGTGAAGATTTCATACAGGACGATGCCGTAGGACCACCTGTCAAAGAAATAGAAGGATGACTATATATCTCAACTGGGGTAGAAAGATTATAATCACTCAGATACTTGGGATGTTTAAAAACATGCCATCAAGACATAAGCAACCTCCTTAACAGAAAACGCCATATTTATTTGTTTGATTATCCACTCATCCTTTCATCCGTCTGTTCTTATCCTAATCAGATTTTGGATATTGCTCGTTAAACTTAATATTCATGTAAAGTCTCATACTACAGCTGTAACCTCAGCTGTTTCCCAGCTTGACGTTTCTTAATGACCCTCTAATCAATAGATCACTGAATATTCTAGTTTTCCTCGCTAAGTTAAGGTAGAATCGTAAAAATGTTCACTCTTGGAATATATGTTGATAATAACCAATACAGTACGTACACATCGCTTTTGGTTGACAGTTGTTCCACATGTCCAAAGAGAATCTCGGGTGCAGTCCATTTGATTGGGATACATCCCTGGATGAGTAACCAAAATACTATAGACATCTGACATCTAAAGAGCCTTGTATACAACTTCTAAAATATTTTGCAAATAAGATTAAAACCGTGATGTGAGGACTTACGATAATGTCAAGAGCAGTAGACACCTTTGTACAAATTCTATGAAAACAATTCACACACTCCTTTTTCTTTAAATCTCCTGTGTTTCTTTGCCCTTCGAGTTTGTGTCTTTGCTATTCAGAGAACGATATCTCTTCCGGCTTTCTTATTTCCTGTGTTCACTCCCTGGGTACAATTTTTTTTCTGTGAAAGTTTCGATACGCTTAGAACGGCTTCCCATTGAAGGGAAATATTTTTTTGCAGTAAAACTGTATAACTGAAAAGAAAGGTTTGTGAGGACAGTAATATTTAAATTCTTCACATTTTTATCTTCCATACCAGCAGCCCCAAAACAAATTGACCGAATGATGAAGAAATTCTGAAAATTACCCCCTTGGCATTTCCTGGGCCGTATTTGAAATCCTGATAAGAGAGCCCAAAGTCAGTCAACTTGCAGACACGATGCTCATCAAGAAGGATGTTACGAGCTGCAAGATCGCGATGAATTATCTGAAATCGAAAAAAAAATGATATGATCTGATAAAAGGGACTTTGATAAATTACATAGAATAAAATAATAAAATATAGGTAGAAATTTTAACGTCATGCTAATGTCAGACCATTTCTCTGTGGAATAGTGATTCTAATGTGCTGGATCTTTTTAGCCGCACAGCGTATTCTTCTCACGATTTGCAAGTCATGCCATTTTAACACATGCAGGACCACAACCCGGAAGAGTTCGAGCACTTACCCCTCTGGACGCGAGGAAAGTCATACCATGTGCGATCTGTTTAGCAAACAGCACCATGTCATACGTTGTCAAGTGGTCGACCCTTCCGACTCCATGATGATATTGGTCGAAAACACCCCTGGATTTTCTGAGATAGCCCAGCAAGTCACCTCGCCACAGGTACTCCATGATAAGTATTGGCTGAGCTAAGAGGGAAAAACAAGAAAATTATTATATGGCAAGCAGTACAGAAGTTCCAAAATGTGTTTGAAATGTACATGGTTTATCTAGTTTTACATTTTACATTTTACATTTACATTAGGTTATATCTGAGACAGAGAGGGAAATTCAAAGAAGAAAAAACGCAGATAGAAAACGGATGGACACACAGCAGAGAGAGAAATAGAGATAAACGCATAGACAGATGGACAGACAGACAGACAGACAGATAAACAGAAAGACAGAAAAATAGGGATGGCAGATAAAAAGACAGAGACTTGCCATCGTAAGTTAAAGCTATTATCACAATTAGCATGTACATTTTAGAGCTTAAATCTTCCAAGTAAAATGGCCTACATACAGTGCGAAGTAAATTTCTTTAGATGAGACAAAAACTGGAAATAACCCTTGAATTAGTGCACCATCTAAGCAATACTGGTTGACGTCAGATATGTTTTTATCGTTACTGTGAATTAGCTGATTATAATCATAACAATAGCTGATTACCTCCAACTGTAACACAACCGATGAACTTAACAACATTTTCATGGCCCTCCCTTCCAAAGAGTTTTAATAACTCGATCTCTCTCAGCAGGGCCTTCCTTCCTTTCTCTCCGGAGATTGCTAGGAAACCACGAAAAATAAAATATACAAAAAGAAATTTGCATGTCATGAGAGACACAATTGTTTATGTGGTGAACATCCACTTTTGCAAGTATTGTATACTTGGTGTTAAACTATCGGAGCAAATTACAATGCATTTGGTCTGCATAAGACAAATTAAATTTCGTTTTCTAAACCCCATAAAATCCATACTTACCGAAAATCCCGAGCAATTGTTATCATCTGGCAAGCTCATAGAACCGCGCAATTATTTTACAGACAACTCACAAAAGTAGAGACGCAATTAAGCCTAGAAATCGCACCTGTTATAATACCTAATCGGTCGAATAGACATTTGAGACCATTGGTTTTTTTAGAATATCCTCTATTAGCGCCTTCTTGTTCCCTACGGTTCATATGGTACATAATCCTTGCTTTTATCACATTAAATGTTACATAAACTCATAAGCATTTCCAGAGTTATTGTAAATTCATTTGACTCTGTAAGCTTGAGACAGTCCAACCTGTATTTAGCGGTCATGCACGGGTCGACCGTTTAATAAAGGTTCCACGGAATAGGAGTATTATTGATGAAAATTAAAAATCGCCATTCTATGCCATCACGGACCACTTAACATACATGACCTCGCTCCATAATACTTCTAACATTGATTTCGGGAGATTAACTTGGATTAAATTTTACTTGAAAAATTATTCTTAATTTTATTTGAGTACTTCCGCTTTATTGACCGTTCAGTGCAGGTAGGGAACATTACAAATAGGCTGTTGGGACAAAGTAATGGGTGACCAAAATCGCTTGGTATAAAAAGTACTACGAGTAGTGAAGAAAATTTTGGGGCATTGAAAACCGACCCCTTATCACAGGGTAACCGCTTAATACGGTGCCGCTTGATGCAGGTTCGACTGCATTATGATTTCCAGCTTTTTCCAACAGAAGAAGATCATACTACCACCACCAGATGGGCATATGGCTCCAATTTTTTCGCTTAAGGCTCACCCTCTCTAGGTTTCTCTGAGGTCACTAGTCATGATTTCACATCAAAAGTTTCTAAGCGGGCAACTTTGCAAAATATGCGACATCAGGTTACAGGTGAACAGCGGGTGATTGGAGGTGGCGCGAAAGTGGACCGAAATTTTTAATATTGTAGTATTTTCCGCTTTTATACCCTTGGATGCAATTTGATCAATAAATTTGCGTTAGCCTCCACAGCTTCTAGTACTCCAAATGATATTCGTGTTCTGTTGAATGTTTGTGGTGTTGTATGACAAAAGACTTAACGACTGGTCCCTCGGAGAACCATCTGCTAACTATTTGACATGCCAGCTGATAATTCATTTTAACAGCGTATATCTATAAGCTATAATTGTTATGTATCAAATAGTTTAATAAAGCGTGTTTTAAGAAAAATGCTCTCTATTAAGATGAAACACAAAAAATCAATAAAGGATAGTTTGATCAAGCTTTGTATGAAAGAAAGACAAAAAAAAAAGTACTTACGTAAGTAGCACTTGGCAGCAACTGTACGATTTCCAGGTCTACCACGGGAACGACCCAGTAGCGCTCGCCACACTGAACCAAATGCCCCTCTGCCAATATGCTCGCGAAGGATCAGGCGGTCAACTGCAATCTCCCATCCATCGGTGTTTACCTTCAGCTGATCCATCTCAACTTCATCTTCCCCTTCACTGAATAATTGCAGATGAAAACAAGACTTAAACTATCTTTGTTATCTATCTATCTTTTCTCTCTGTTAATCTATTTAAACGTAACGTGGTAAATATATTCTCTATATCTTCACTTTAAGAGTTTTTTCTCTTTTTTTTCATTTAAAGATAATTTTTTTTTCAGAGTACGTCAGAAAATTATTACTTGCCAATGAAAAAATTACTGAGATAGGTGAAATTTGGATACTAATCTGCTGAACCCGTTTGTTGACGCATCGCCCCAGAAGAGGAGATTTTATTGAAAGAAAAAAAAGAGGATTGATTTAACCTCGCATGAAGATAACCTTGCGCCGACTGCGTTTTTCGGCATTTTACCTCATACAAATATCGTTTCTCCCACGCGAGAAATGAAATACTAACCGAAACCATCCGAAGTATTGTCTACAGTCGATATATCGACTGGCATTTTAAATCGGCCTACAAGACTCCGAGTGTATTTCAACTGCAGTTTCTGGAACAAAGAGTGACGAGGGATCAAAGCGCCTCTTTTTCTTATAAGTATGCCACCCACAACCCAGCATGCTAGTAAAAAAAAATATATATATATTAAACAAGGTGTCAAGACAAGTAAAAGACGGATGAAACCAAAACAGAAAGAACATCAGGAAACATTTGACTGCCATAAGAACGGCTTCGAAGAATGCCGCTGCTTCGAAAGAAAAAACCCCTTTTTGGCCTGTGAGCTCTTGATGGTGAATATGATAGGTCCAAACTGGAGAAAAGACGTATTTGCTCAGCAATGGCGCTTATCACTATTCTACTGAGACTATTCAACAGTTAGAAACTTCGGATATAGTGACACGTTGAAACAGCGAGCATTCACAAAAAGAGAGAATTTACTTACTTCAACCTAGGTGGCACCTCAGGTGGGGCTATTATCAAAGGATATGTGGAAAAAGATCGAAGAAATAGCTTCGTTGTAAGTAAGAATGACATCATTAACTTAGTGAAAGCTTGCGACTCAGAAACCACGTGTATCATATATTTGACTCTGTTGTCAACAACGAGAGAAGGAATATGGCTGGTTGTCATGGTGATCAGCTGGATATAATTTTTAACCTTTTTGTAATTTGATTGGTTAATGGACTTTCCGGGACTAAAGAAGGACCTTCAAAATCAGTGCTGGAAATGCACAATATCACCTGCTATGATAGCTCTTTCGTACCCCAAAACACTGACATAAAATTCTAATAAAATTTCTGTGTAATGGCAGTATAATTTGAATTTGCGCAAATGAAGGGTGACGTGAATCTGAATTTGTAATTGTTATCAAAACATATACAGATGTGAAAAAAACTCTACAATTTAGCATTTTTTGGCCGAATACGAATAATTCTTATAAAAATATCTCTGCTCTTAGACTCTAAGCTCAGGGTTCCTCATCCCCCCCCAGCAGACATGACAGACATTTCCTTCTTTTACTTTCAGAAAAAGAAATCTGAAATAACACAGAAAAATGGACGTCACCTGCCCTTCGAAGCTTGCAGAAATACCAGGCAATTAGCAAAATGACAATCGCTGCCGCCACTGATCCACCAATGTAAAACCACAAAGTGTTGAAACTTTGCATAGCTCGTGGCACTTGCTTCGCTAATTGTGTAAGATAAATATATGGCCATTAGACAAATCTCGACGGTAGTAAAAGTACTGATAAAATTCAAGTTGTTTGGAATAGCTTTGAAATAGCTTAGCACATTCTTTAACCCTTGATTGACACCTGCTCTTAGAAGCTAAATAACTGAAATTCACAGAGCGATGCAAGGTAATTTCATGCAAATGGGCCAGGTGACCCACATTTGTTTCGTCTTTAACTGAAAAATAGTTTTAATCTGTTTGGAAATATATTTTTCAATTAGTAAAGTATTATGCCTTTTAAGGACACAACAGTAAAACCAGCTTACCTTTGATGTTTATTTCTACAAAGGAACGGTCAACAAAACCGAGCTTGTTACGTCCCTCGCAAGAATACACACCACTGTCCTCCTTCACAACTTCAGTTACAGCAAATGTACTCTTTTTGTCATCGAATCGTGTATCAATCTTTGCTCTTTCAGGTGGTGAGTCTCCATCTTTTTTCCAAGTTACATTTATTGTTTCTTCGTTGACGTTGCAGGTCAACGTGAGGTTGTCTCCTGCTGTGATTGCTGGATACTGATCTGGAAAAACTTGAACAGAGGCTTTTCCTGCGTTAAGAAAAAGGCAACTGATTAAAATCCTGGTCCACATTTGTCACCCTCATCGTCAACATCAGTTCAGCGTTGGCGTCACATCATCTTCCTTCATCGCCATGGATATCGTCGGCGTCATCGTCAAAGTCAGCGTCATCGTTATCGTTATCGTCATCATTATCGTCATTATCATTAAACTTACCGTATACACGCAGTGTTGCAGAGGAACTAGTTGTATTTGCTTTATTTTTCGCTTCACACTTGTAAGTCCCTTCCATCCCTTTTGTGACGCTTAAAAATTCCAGGAATGATTCTCCTTTGTGATTGAATTGATTGATACCAGATGGCAGGTCACCATTATTAAAAACCCAGACTAATGTTGGTGTTGGCACACCTGTGGCTCGGCAACTAAAGTTCACAGAGTTTCCCTCAGTAACAGACTGGTTTATCGGAGGCTTTATAATCTGCGGAAATACTTCAATAAAAAAAGAACCAAAATTAATAAGGTTTGTATAATCCACTTTAACCCCATTTATCTAACCTTTAATAAAACGACGAAACAACAACAACAACAAAATCAAAACAAGAAACGCGATGTTCAAGTCTATTTTTAACCAAGGTCAATTTTTTTATAAAGGTTTTCTTCGCGTTCAGAATAAAAAGATATTGTTTTGCCTTAAGTTGTCCCAGTTGTGCCAATAACCTTCATTTTTTTTAACTCGTGAATTGCGCGTTAACAGATTCCTGTAAACTTTTTTTCGATTTTAGGCTTTTGAGTGCATTTGATAGTTTTTGGCGAGCAATAAAAAAACGGAATAGCGACCTTTGTTGCTAAGAATAGTGGTGGGGTGAAAAAGAAGCCAATGATAATCTTAAAGGAGTTTTTTTTTCGTTTTAGTTTCAACAAGCGGCGCCAGCGACTGGCAGGCATGCAAAGATTCACACTGAAATAACAGACAACTTTCGTTTTTCATAAAATTGTAATTTATAATCCTTGAACTTGAAAACAATCCGAAGATTCATTGAAAATATCACTTACTGCGAAGCGCTCGGAGTTTACAGATGTTCAAAAGCTTTTTCTGTTATGGCGTGAGTTGAGGAAAAAATTGATCATTACGTTTCTTATCGTGTGTTTTTCCTGTGTGAAGCAACAAAGGGTGCCGGCGACTGACGAAATTACAAGTTAACACGAAAATCAAATAACACCTAAACAAACAATTTTAGCTACCGATTTTCAGTGAATTTTTAAAGAACAATTTTCTTTTAAGTTTCAAGACAATTTGAAGATTCAAAATACATTTTATGTACTAAAATGCGAAAGTTATACACCACAAAATTGATAAACAGGCCTGAAATGAAATTCTATCTTGTTATTGATTATACGTTGCCTAGCACGTGACTAAAATCTACCCAGGCGGAGATCCAAAATGGCGGTGACAGTCTTGGCTTAGTTATATCACTCAAAACTCGTTCCCGTTTGTCTCATTTGATAAAGAGGGAATCGTTAATGTTTTCATTAAGACAGTATTGCCTTGATTTTCTAATATTTACAATGATAGACAGTAAATTTCACTTTTCACCCACATTTACTTCCAACCTTTTCTTTTGAACCAGAAAAAAAATGATATACGTTTAAAACACATGACATCATCCACCCTTGTCAAATGTAATAGCATGATCATTTCAACTGTAATGCCTTCTTATCCCAACGTTACTTTGTTTCTTTGCTACATTAGCGAACACTGAACTACTGCTCGTACTCTAGATATGACAATTAACCACAAAATTCCCTAAACCAGAGAACATAATCCAAAAAATCATGTGTCAATTCCCGAGTTTGCTCACAGAGCAATTTGATCTTTCTGGTTGTTGAGTGTGATGTTAAAAACCTATATGTTTAACGACTATCAGTTTTATTTTTTTAGCAGTATATATTGAATTTGAAAAGTCATTAGGCAATGATGATCAAAACAATGTGAAACATTTGCATTCTGTGATAAAAAAAAAGGAAATCTGTCATTTGACGTCTCCAAATTGAGTATTTTGACATGCGTCCAAGGATAAAAATGTTAGAGTGGACCACAGGATTTGGAATTCCTTAATAGCGGGAGGTGTTTTTAATCATTTCTTTGGTTACGGATTTATCTTCATTTACAATCTGTGTGTCTGTAAGTCAGAATCAACTCTAAGTCACCAGGAAATGGATGAAAAGAGAAAAAAATAGGTCTATTTAAATTTGGCTTAAACTTTAAAACAAACGCTCTGTTAAGTTACAAGTTTGATAAATGACATAAACTACAATTTTGGGTTTACCTGTGACATCGATCCAGAAGGAAGAGTTTGCTTCGCCATAATCATTTTTAGCAGTACATTCATAATAGCCTTTATCTTTAAACGTCGCTTTTCTTATAACCAAGGTGTTGTTTTTACTAATTAGCACTCCATCCTTGGTCCAGTAGACAGATACTTGTGGGTCACCTCTGAAATAACACTCTCTAATAAAAGGGTAGTCAAATTCAATGGTGAGATTTCTAGACTCATCACGAACATGGGGTGGAACTGCAAAGTAAGCATGTAAACACAAATTACAAAATAAGAAGCCACCCAACCTTCCCCCCCCCCTCCCCCACCCACAAAAAGAAAAAAAATTACAATAATAAATAACATTAAAAAAGAAGGAGAAGAAGACAACGAGCCACTTTTTTACCATATCAAACAAATCCTTCCAAAAACCATGTCAGTCAGGCTATATTACTAACTTAGCCATGATATCATCAAATTGTTATAGCGGGAACAAAGGAACAATTGTAAAGACCTTCCAATTCTTCGCAATAAATAACTAATGAAGCGTTCTGAAAAAATTATTCATCCAGGACCTGGTCCTCACTGGTGAATCAGTCGCAGATAATAGCTGAAAGCCCTTGCATTTTTTAAAATTTTTCTGATAGTTTTCTACAATTACCTTACCCTTAGCTCAGACCCAGAAACCTTGATCTAGAGTCAGGCCCACTGGCTATTGATTCGCACTCCGTAGGCATATCAAATGCATGACTGATTTATAATACAGTTGAACTTTACAAACACACCCTTTACAGAAATGTCAGTGTATTTGGTAGAATTTCCTGCTTCATTCTCTGCCTTACAAGTGTACCGCCCTTCGTCCTCCTTTGTTATATTAGAAAAGAAGAGAGACAAACTCTCTCTTTGCAATGTATTATTCTTGAGCCAGGTGATCCGTGGTTCAGGCCGACCTTCCACAACTTTACACGTCAAGTTTACATTGCTTCCTTCTATGGTGAAATTGCTTGCTCCAGAAATACAAACTTTTGGTCGAACTTAAAGGTAAATAAATAACATATTACTGGAAAATCGGAGGTGTTCCTATATCATTTACATTGAACACATTAGACGCAGTAACTAAATGAACATTTGATGATGACAGTAGCGCTTAATATGAAGTATAATCGTTTGTCAGATCGCGAACCTTTCGAACTTCGTATTGAGGTCTACATACTCCTATTATCTCGGACCACCAGTCTACGTAAGACAGAAGGCGCAGCCATAGGGAGTATGGTCTCCGCCGTTATTGCTAATCTCCACATATAGAGTTATAGGAGCAATCGATAACCTTATCATCTTACCAGCGAAGGATCTGGAAACGTTATGCATATGACACATTCACAATCTTGGTTCGCGAAAACGCTGATAGCTTCCTACAGCATTTGAAGAACCGAGAGCATCTCATTCACTTCACTGATGTTACAAATAGTAACAACACACCCGCCATCCATGGCACTGCATCTTTAAAACAAGAGCCCGTGGTTTACAAGATTCCATGTGAGTGCGGCAAAGTTTAGATCGGCGGAGCAGGCAGACCTATGGAAGTAAGGTTCAACGAGCAATATGGCAGATCGAGAAACGACATGCTAAGACAAAGGCCTCTGCAGTTTCAGGAGACACGTGGAAACCACCTGCTCTGGACTGAAGTAGAGTATATTGATAGTGATCATGTTATTATTAAACGCAGGGTAAAAGAGGCCATCCACATGAGACTGTTACAGCATAAATTGGACATTAGGATAGACATCCCAAAAATATGAATGCTGACCACAAGAAACACAAAAACAGGGTAACTTTGCGACAGTGGACTCCGGAAGAACATTTGGTCAGTGTGCCAATCGAATCCTGTGTGGGATTCCAGTCAATCACAGCCAAACAGAGAGTTTCATAAGGTCATGCATATCTACCGACCTTATAACAGGAAGAAGACACAATATGCAGTCAAAAAGTCGCGATCCATATCCAAAGTATCTTCATGGCGCGACAAACGATTATACTGCATTCAGAAAGTGAATTTGTCACCAAGACCAACCGAAGTCGATTTAGGCACATTACCAGTTTGAAAAGAAACTATAAACTTCGTCACAGGGCACTTACTTTGAGTCATGACGAGGAAACTACACCGTTCACAAATAACCTAAGTATAATTTTTTTAACATGACAACCCTACTTTCAAACAACGAAAACGAACATATTCACGATAAAATGTAACCTCACATACCTGTGAGTATGAGCAGCGAAAAGGTTTTGAAAATGAGTAAATTAAATTAATTACATTTGAAGGACTGACTTTGTGACTTTCTATATATTATCTCATTAGTCACTCACTTATAACTGTCACTAGTATGTTTTTATCTCTGCTTGAGACCCTCTGTGGTCCTTTAGTTTGTGTCATGGTACAGATGATGAATGTTCCATCGTCTTCAGGCTTTACAAAACCAATACGCAGGCTGCCGTTGGATATTTGAGCGAATCGTCTCGGGTCTAAGGACTTTCCTCCTTTCTTACTCCAAGAAATCTGTGGACTTGGTGTTCCACCAGCACTACAGCTTATAATGCCAGACGTGTACGCAATAAAGGTTTGTTGGTCCAACGTCTTCTGAGTAAATCTTGCTGTTGAAAGCAGTAACGAAAAGCACTAATATCGTAGCTATACTGTTGAAAGGTCAGAAGTGCACTTGTCTTACATGACATTGTCATGCATGTTAAGCCTATTTCTACAAGATAAAAAGATGTGTTTTCATACCATTTATGTAGACAATGTAATATTGAACATATTCCAATCTCTGGCATTCATATATTCCTCCATCAGACAGCTGCACGTCATCAATGAACAGATCACCATTGTCTTTAGCCTTGATCCTTTCAGAAGTAGAGTTTGTTATTTCAAGCTTTCGCCCATTGATGACCCATCTAGCATAATTGGTTTTATTGTTTATAGAGCAATAAAGCTTTTCTCTGCTACCAATATCAAAATAGAGTTCATTTCTTTTCAACACATTCTTGTTTTCTGCAAAAAAAAAAATGGTTCGGTATGGAAGATGTCAAAATAAGTCAGATTCTGTGTAATCAACACTACAAGAAGAGAAAAGTTGAATATATTCACCTTTAATAAAGCTTAACTTGAGAAATTTTTGGAACTTTGTTGTACTTAAAACTAAGTTATATTACTCCAAAGAAAGTCATGTCAGCCATTATCAAAGTAATGTAACCTTTGAATAGAATTATATCGCATCCAAAAAAGGTTATGTCACCCGTTAAAAGAAATTAGGTAACCCTTAACTGAAGTCAAGTGATCTTATGAGCAGTCAGATTACATTCATGAAAGATATGCCAAGCTGAATCATCAATGAGGAGGGTAAGTTGCTTTCACTCCTACTATTTTGTAGCCCAATATGTCGTTATAATTTTGGTGTAGTTTTTTCGTGAAAATATATTTTAGTTTTCGAGAAATGATTTTTTTCGTTCGACCGCTTAAACATGCAAATTTTCACCGTGAATATCACCCGAGTGCGTGACCTCATGTAACGAATTTACTTGACCTCCGATATTTCTGTCAACATAATCTTTTTTTCATCATCGAAACTTAATCCCCTCTCAGTATTGAAGCTAGCAAAGAAATATTTATTTTTTGGTAAATATTTTTGTCCGACATACTTTTTCTATGTCGAAAAGTAGCATCAAAACAAAGACAGTTTCAACAATGACCGAAATAACAGAATCTACTGATGGTTATAAAGTTACTGTAAAAATTTCCTTGTGTATTTGTGTTGTTCTATCGTGAGACGCACTCAACGTCCGGCAAAATTTGCTTACTTGTCGCCACCGTTTATTGGCATAAATCACTACAATTTGTAAAAAAAATCTAACATAACACTCTTACCTTGTTTACTTATGATTTTTTAAGACCAAGAAGCTGTTTCGGTTACTATATTACGCTTCGGTATTACTTTTTGCCAGGAGCCCAGGTTTTAAGTTGTGTTTTCCCCTACCCCATTTATATCATAAGCTAGTCACGCAATAATTGATCCCAACAAAAATGAATATTTACCCTGTATGAAGATTTTTGTTTATGTTGAATTGACAATATTTGAATATGTCACTTTTGTGGCTACTAATCGTTGTTTCAGTAGCGGCGTAGTAGTTAAAAGCGGGTTACTGGGTGCTGACAGGGTGTGTATTGACCAATTCCCAATCGAGACCTAAGTCTGACGGAACGCGTAATTTTGCACAAGGTGGTACAGTGAATTTTCCAGACGTCTTGCGTACTATCTGTGGTACATGCTTGCAAATTCCCCAATCAGCTTTTGGAATCGACTCAACCCTACCTTTACCACGGCCGTACACTTCTTTAGGCACCCAACACCGGTACCGATATTTGATCTACGAGTGGGGCAGATTGTGAAATTATCGGTATCTTCTGGTGTCTCGAAGATGCCGGCTCGCGACAAAATAAGATTAACTTCAGTTTCTGGATCTCCGCAAGTGACTTGAAATGTCTTTTTTACAACTACGCAAGGGAACGACCTGAGATATGCAACGTCGGTCTTCTCGATAACGATACCCAAAAGTCCCACCAGCGAACGATTTAAATGAACAGCAAATCTTCATGTTAGCATGTAAGATGAGACGCTTACACAACAGAACAATTAGCTAAATCAGTATGGAGCTTGTCAATCGAATTGACTTTTGTGAACATTCTTTGACTTCCGCCGGCAAAGGAACCATTGATGGATCTGGATATTTTAGTTTTCTGAATACAGTAATTCTTGGAAGGTTTTTATAGATATGCAGATATGCAAAGAGGGGAAAAAAACCTATCTCTTGGTAATTCGGAGGTTGACTCATCCTTGAATTTATGTGTCACGCTTGTCATGCAACTGATATAATAACGTGGAGAAGATTTTAAATCTGGCTAAAATGAGGTAGGGCATAATTTGATCATCGAAACAGCTAATAAAGTCATAAATAAATAGGGTAAGAGTGTTATGTCAGATATTTGTTTACAAATTGTTGTGATTTATGCTACTAAACGATGGCGACAAGTAGGCAAGGGCCTGTTTAGATGGAGGTGGGGGACCCCAGGTAGGTGAGGTAACCCGCCTAACCGTGGTCGAAAAATAAAACGCGTTTACATGCAATCTTAAAACCCCGGGGTGCTGGGGTGAGGTTTCTTGAGGTTGTTGTTGCGCTTGCAATTAAGGAGTCTGAGCAGAGGTGTCCCAAGCTCACATCTCGAAAAAGATGGAAGATTAATCCTCGCTCACAAATGTATTTGTTCATGAAAGCGTCACACGTTGTATTACGCGGTGTTTGGTTTCGCGAGGAACCGTTGACTTAATACGTTAAACGGAATATTTTGGGAAACCAAATATGGTTAATTTACAACGCTAAATATTTCGAAATGTGAACATTTTACACTCCTTGTGTGTCCGTTACGGTTTCTGATGATTTCTGCCATGAGACGGCTAGGGTATGTACAAAGTTTTAAAACATACATATTTCGCTTTTGAGCTTTTTGCCATGAACGCTACCCCGGCTAGGCGGGTTACCCCGCCTTGAGACGTTTACATAGCAAATTGCTGACAGGGTTACCCTACCTGGCAGACCGGGCAACCCGCCTAAGCGGGTCACCCCACCTATCATGCAAACGTGATCAAAATAAAACAAGAAATTATATTGACAGGCGACCTGAGGTCCCCCACCTCCATCTAAACAGACCCTAAATTTAATGCCGGACTTTGAGTTCGTCTCACGATAGAACAACACAAATACACAAGGAAATTTTTACAGTAACTTTATAACCATCCTTTTGTCTTTTAAAAGCTAGAAGCTCTGTAGATTCTGTTATATCGGTCACTGTCTTTGTTTTGGTGGTACTTTTCGACATAGTAAAAGTATGTCGGACAATTATCTAGGACATATTGGGCTACAAAATATGAAAGTCGGAGAGAAAACGAATTTTGGGCGACTTGCCACAATATTTCAAATTTGTTCGATGGATGCTGACATCCTCTCTTAAGAAACTGTGGTGCTACGTCGGTGGGGGAGTATAACACCCGCCACGACAAAGGGCTAACGCTCGAAATTCAGCTTTGAAACTCTTTACGGGGGCAAATTACCATTATCAACTCGGTTGATAAAATCAAAATCATCTGAGTCATTTTTACCCTAAACTAAACTAAGTCATTTCATCCCCAGTCGATGTCATGTCGCTATCTTGAGCGTAAAGTCTGCGAACAGGTATATGCTTGTCCGCGAGTTATACTTTAGCAGATTGTTTTTAGAAATGGTCTTCTGGTCATCTGTGTATCTCAATTTACTCTGATTTCCCTCTACTTTAGAAGGTCAATGGCAAGAAGAAAAACAACCACGAAAACCAGAATAACTAATCAGACCAAAAAATTTAGTTGCTTACTTGGTTGACACAGCGCTTGAGAACCCTTGTCATCCGACTGACATTGAGGTGGAATATTTAACTTTCCATCGATGCGATCGCATGATGCAAGTTCAAACTCTTCTCCGGTGCAAGAGACATCGGACATTGCAAAAGGTATTCCCTCAGCCTTTATGTCTGACCCAATGAATTCCGCCAAAGCCTCTTCAAAGCCAAGTTGACGACAAATAACTTTGACATCATTAAAGTCCCATTTATTCCGACATATCTTTGCCCATTTCCCCTTGTAAAACACTTCCACTCTTCCTCCATACTCCACATTTGCGCCATTCAAGCGAACAGGAACTTATGAAATTACAAAAAGTTCAATCCGTTAAGATGGAAAACACTAATTATCATGAATCGAGAATGCCTATAAATCACGAAATGATAAATAGCTCACGCCTGTCTAAGCGTTTTTTAAGGGAAATTCTGGGTGCAAATCATTCAGTATTCGAATGTTGGCCGCATCGTTCGTTGTCACGATGTGGTTTCCTTTCTGCAATGTTTTACGACAAACCTCTTTTTCATTGCTTCGTGACTGCGTTTTAAATTGTAAAATTAGATGTTTTTTCAACAATTTTGGAACATTCAAGACGTGTTTTCTTTGCCTTCGGAGAACACAAAAGGGTGATTTACATTTTAAACTAGAAAGTCATTTTAAAGCATTTCTCACGGAATAATCAAGAAAAAGGCGTTTAGTTAAGTATAAATAGGGTGAAAAATTGTGAAATTCCCTAGTTACACGAAAGAGAGAGAAAAAAGGAAACTAGAAGGATGCAATAGTTTTAAGGAAAACTTGGTGAAGGGTTTGGAGGTTATGAAGTTCATGAAACCCAAATGCATAACTGCGCAGCTTCTTTCGGCAGTAATTCAACTATAATCGTCTTAGGGTGTAAACAATAGAAACCCGCTACATTTTTAGCGATAGATACCTTTTTAGAACCTAAAAGATACCCGAAGATGAACAATTATTGATCTCGGAAAAATTTTCTTATCTGGAGTGTGAATAAATCTATCAAGTTACCATCTTTGGAGATCATGTGGATATTATATGAGTGCAATTCATTATTACCTTTGCAAAATTGTTGTTTCTTTTCCAAGTTGTTTTGACATGTGGTGGGAATGGTACAGTTGTAATGAGTGGACATCTCTGAGGAATTGCCACGTTCTGCGTACCTTGTGTCATTAGTATACACGGCGTTGCTATAGTAGCCCATGGCCATGCAGGTTGAATTTTCATCTGCTTCATCCCATTGACTGGTACAAAGCTTTTGCCAGCTGCTGTTTGAGAATATCTTCATTGTACCGACAGATGGGTTCTTCTCTGTTTCAAAACGCAGGGGAAATTCTTCAAATATTAAAAAAAATTGACAAATAAGGATAACAATAAACAGCGTGAACTACTTCAGCATAGGTAAGTTCTTGTGTTGATGATGTCCCCATATAATTACCCTAGTAACAGCAGTCCTTGCATTGTTGAAAGATTTCTTTTCAGTTAATGGGGGAAGAATTTCCTATTAAGCTAATATGATTTTCTTTGCCAGCAGGTCAATGCCAAAATGTTATTAATAACTGAGGCCCTCGCATTTTTAAACATGTTTCTTCTCATTAGATGATAGTTAGCACTACCGGATTAGCTAAAAAGGTATTGCTTACGGGCAGTCCAACAAAATTCGTAATCGCCATTGCGCTGATAGTGCAGACTTCTTACAGAGCGATAGTGATAGTGGAGATTTGTTTTGTTTCTTTCAAGAAAAGCTTGGTGAATTCCATACATGTACAAAGTTTGCGCATTCATGAAGGATTTCTGACTTATAATGAACTCCTGACTTTTGATAATTTGTGCATTTCACATACTTTGCGTGGATGATTATGTGATTAAAGTTCAACCTTAGCAGTTCCATTCATTTGTTGTTATTCTAGCTTTTATTCCTGAATTAGTTCATTTTTGTTTCAACAAAGAAGTTTTCATCCACTGAAATCAGAAAGGCTACAATTTGTATGTTACCTTCTTGGCAACTGGACATGTTGTTACATTCTCTTAGCATTGCTCCGGTCCCATCGCAGTGTTTCCCACCATGTGCTGGTTCTGGATTGGCGCATTCTCTCTGTCTTGTTTGTATACCACCAACTGGTTTGGTACAGATACTCCAGGAGCTCCACTCACTCCAGCCACCATCCACTAACAATGTTGTAAACAGAAACATTTGATAAACAACCACAGACGACATTTTCGGATCATTTAACAAAATAAAGTATGTAGGACAGTGGTGCAGTCTTTATTTCTACCTTTCTCTATAATTACTTTGAATGTTTATGTTAACATTTGGTTACGGTAAACTCATTAATTTGGTATTTGACGCGATGCCGTAGGGTTTCCAATAAACTTATCGAGACACGCTTGTGAGAGCAAAAACATAATTTGAAGGCGATAATGCGATGGGGAATCCGTGCCGGTCTGTCTTTACCTTTATTCCCTTGTTGATGGTTTCCAGACAGACCCCGTCCTTTATATGTGCAAATACTCTGGCGTGCATAATCAGTTAATGTACAAATGCACAATACACAAGCTTTAGTTTAAAAACAACATTTTGAGCCCTCTTTTTTAGGGGGAACGAAAACAAACACAACGGGAAACCGTAACAAATTTCAATTATGAGTCTCAGTAGCTTTTCAAGCGAATTATGCAGCAGAAAAGGCCTTCCTAAAAACTCAGTCTCACCTTCAGATCAGGTAAAATCGAAATGGTCTGCTTCTTATTGGTTCCCTAGCCAACATCAAGGATCAATAGGAATAATGGGAACTCGATCCTCAAGCCTAACGATCTACGTATAAAAAGGTCACAGAAGCAATTCCCACTTGGGAACGGAATTGAGAACACCACTCTACCTTTCCCTGAAAGACCTCGCTATTGCAACACTATCTTCAAACTACAGCTGAAGAGACTCGTGAAGTGTCGAAACCGTCGATATTGTTGTAGCCACTGTGAACAATTGCACCAATGTCCGCCTTTCACAACTCTCTAGCGGAATAACTTTTACAAAGTCTTGGTGGAGAAGACGAAAACAATATCTCACAAGAAAAAACATATAAATAGGCAAACGCTCAAAGGAAAGCACTTGGCGAACATTATAAAAAAACAATGAAAAAATAGCCAAATTAAGGAATGAGATTTATGACTTTAAAGAGCTTATTTATACACTCGCAAATAAAATAGATGGAAAATATAAGTGTGCTTGTTAAGCAGTATACTATCTAGATATACGATGAATAAACACGTGGGCAGACATTATGAATTAATTTATTCTCACCCCCAAGCACGCGTTGATACGGGAACTTTAGAATGTGATGCAATCATGTGCGAGTAACGCAACGGTGACATGACATCCCCCCTCGTCAAAAGAAATATATATATATATAGACACATATGCAAATATAGACAAATAGTGCCTCCGAAGTCTAAGACAAATTAATGTGACCCATTGTTCAGTAATAATAAGATAATACCAAGAAAAAGAAGAAAAATGTTCCAAAAGCAAGGCACTGAGGATATGGAATGCTCTTGTGAGGTTGCACTCTGTTAGCCCACTTTCTAGTAAAGTTCATAGTCATTAAACTTCTTTGGCTCCCAGGATATCGTCTATTAGACAACTTACTGGGATGCCGGGGTGGGCAAAGTGGGCTTTGGTGGGCACGACGATGGTGGTGGATTGAGTGTTTATCAGCTGGTCCAACTCATAGAAATCACTGCAATAGTCTACGGTGACTAGGTACTGCTTATGTTGGAACTCAAATATGTCCTGCGAGATGAACAGCCGAGGTCGCGTAGGGACAGGATGGGATAATATGGTCAGTGGCGGCTTGCTTTCCACACTGGGAGCAGGTAGGGCAAACTAAAAACATGCTTATATGTGAAACGAAGGCAATATTCTGCTCCCCTATGGTAGTAGTGGTTTTTGCTCAGCATACTTGGTCTGAGAGAGGTAGGAATGATGGCGCGAGTAGACTTAAGAAGAATATCATTTACAATTCTGAGTTCTTCGCGAACCGTTGAGGGGGTATTGCTGCAGCTAGTGCATGTCAGGGCATGATGATGTGGCATTGCGTAGTTGCTCGCGAGTGGTATTGGTGAGGGCCGTTGAGGTGGGGTCCAAGCGAGCAAGATGAACGTGAAACACACGGAAGGTGTCCGACATGGATGGGTTGACGGCTTCGTCTTGACATGGGGCTCTGGATACGGTGTCTGCTAAATGCAAGAGAGAACCTTTTTTGTACACAAAAGTAAAGTTGTAACACTGTAGGAAAAGCAACATCCTCTGCAGACATTTAGGCGCTAAGGCGAGGTCCTTCTTGAAGATCAACTAAAGGGGTTGGTGGTCTGAGTAGACTGTGTGTTGGATTTTCCCAAAAGCCATTGCTCAAATGTGTTGAGGGCTTCAACAATAACCAGGCACTCCTTTTCGATTTGCGCATAGCGCTTCTCGGTAGTGGTTAGGCCTTTTTCTGTACGCAATAGGTCGCAGAGAAAACTCGTCAAGGGCGCTGCTACTGAGGGGTTTGATGGGTTGTAAGAGGGCAGCTCCTTGGCCATAGTCTGAGGCGTCCACTTGATTGATCAATGGCGCAGTTACGTCAAAGTATTCCAGGCATGCTGGAGAGGTGGCCAGGACTTTTGCTGAATCAAAGGCTTGCTGGTGCCTTATTGACCATAGGTACAGCATGTCCTTTTTGCTGAGGTTGCATTGAAGTCGGGTGACGCTGCTGAGTTGGGAACAGAATTTTGCCAGTTAATTAATAGCCTAGGAAGCGGCGCACTGCTTGGCTTTCGGTTGGAGTGGGCATGACGGTGATAGCTTTAACTGTGACCAGGTTGGGCTGGAAGCCATCCATGGTTGTAACATGGCTCATGGAGGTGACTTTGGGAATAAGGAATTTCTTCTTGTTGACATTCAGCTTGACATGACGTTGTTCAAATCCCTCAAGCACGGCGATAAGGATGCGGTCGTGGTCGATTGGACGTCATTAGCGCCGCAGCCAGGGATTAAGATGCCTTCGGTAATACTAGGAGGCCATCAAGCACCATATGAATTTGGCGCTGCCATTCTTTGGATGCAGAGGATATGCTAAATGGTTGTCTAGTCCATCTGTAGCGACCCCATGGTGTGACCATTTTGGTCATCAGAGATGATCTTAAGGACAAGAGTATGTTTTGCCTATTTGACATGTATTCCTTCCATGCAGCTTGTGGATGTTTTCTTCCAAGGTGGAGATGATATACTTTGGACATCGAATGGCTTTATTGAGAGGCTGAGAGGGGTCTAAGCAGCTCCGTATTTTCCCGGTTTGGTGGGGGTTTGTTTTCGCTTTCGGTTGAGATACCCTTACCGGCTGACCAGTGGTTTCATACGCATCCAGGGCCGCTTTGATCGCATCCAGCTTTGAAATGGGCTCGCAGTGATTGGGGGCACGGATGGGTTTGACATCTGGATCCAGATCAAGACAGATGAGTGGGCCGCGGAAGCCCAGACCTTGAAAGAGCGAGGTCCAGTTCTTAGAAATGAATTCCACAGTGCAAGTCCTTAGTGTAGGAGAGTGAATTTGTTCTTCTGTGGTGGAATTAGCCAAAAGCTTATTTGTATGTTATGCCGCCTCAAACGATATAACTTGATTCTCCACGAAAGCCAGGGTAAAAGGGGGATCCTCCGGTTTCCGTTGGCCATCTCTGTGAAATATGTCTTCTCGGAAGCGACTGAAGGATTCGTGGAGACCGAAGAGAAACTTACCCCTAATAAATTCTTCCGCGTTTATGCCAAACGATAATCTTCCGACGGCAGTACTTACAGCGGTTTCTTACGTTGAAATGGAGGTTTGGTCTGCTTGTGACATTTTTGCTCAGTAGTGGTAGCAGTCTTGCATCAAAGTACATGCACCAGCGTAATTTTCTTTGGTTTTTTAAAGCCAGATCTAGTGTTTTCCAGCATCATCGTTCGGTATCTTGGAAGCTATTTCTCTGTGTAAGGTGTCCCATTCAGTTGCAGGAATTGCTAACTCGAAGCGTCTCCTAGCGACGATGTAATGGTCCCCAGTCTCGGTGAGTCTGCTTTTAGTGGGGTTTCTGTAGCCTTCGAGTAAACATTAATCATGAAATCTGGTCTCCCAGTAACGGTTATGGTAACGGTTTGTTCGCACAGCTTGTACATCGAGGATAGACTTTTCGTACATGGTGCAATTGTGAAATGTTGACGAAAGTTTGAGATGTTGCCGAAGAAGCTATTCAATGATACAGTTCTGTCTACGAGAGACTAGCTCGCTGTAAAAACCGGTCCTGACACCACGTTAAGCAGTGTACTTTTCTATTTCTTGACGAAGAATAAACACGCGCAGCCATGAGGAACTAATTTGTTCACACCCACGAGCACACGTTGATACGGGAACTTTAGGGTGCGATGTAATTATGCGTGAGTAATGAAACGGTAACATGACATGTTCTCTGACTCTAAAAAAGCTGGCTTTAACTACAGCGGAACAGAACAAAAAGCATAAGACGCAAAGAGCGCAGACACATTTTAAAATATAGGCTTTCACGCAAAGAAAGGGAGGAAAATGAAACATTCCTAAAATATCTCTCAAACTATCAGATTTCTGACAGTCAAGTCAGCATGCTATCAAAGGTTTCAAATTCATTTCAACACCCGTGACAAACGAATGTAAAATTAGGCAACAACTCTTGCAAGATTTTGAACAATTTGCAAGACGAATGCGCCTCAAATACATCTTTCACGGACAAAACAAAGAACCACATCCGTTTCATATTAATTCCAACTGAATACCACCGGTTCAGCCTTCTATTGCCCTTGAGAGCGATTAGGAAAATGTCAAAACACAACTTGCAGAGATTGCTGTAACTAAGCCAAAAAATAATTCGTCACGCAATGAGGTTATGGCTTTAAAAGAGTTAAAAATAATTCTGTTTTAAAACTCAAAAAAGCAGACAAAGGTACAACAGTCATCATGAATAACCACAACCTCTCAAAGCACCGATAGTGAAAAACATGTAGAAAAGGGTTAATTAGATCACTGACCAAATGCGTAAGGGCAAACACATCGATGACATGACTAAGAGATGGCTTTCACAAACTCCCAATCCGCCAAGAATACCAATATTCTATAAGCTCACGAAAATACACGTACCTATACCGGTCATCTTTTGTGGAGACACTGCCCCAGCCTATGGCACAATTGCAACAATCCTATATGAAGGATGCCACTGCTTTTTATCAATTTCATAGAAAAAACAAAGGTGGGCAAAGATACTATTCTAGCATCAATGAACATTTCTAGCTTGTACACAAATATACCTCAAGAAGAAGGAAAGAAGCATACGAAAAGTTCAACAACCATAACGCACCGATCCCAACGCATTACCTCAGGGAAATACTTGGCTTGATCTTTCAAGAAAATTTGTTTCAATTCAATGAGGAGAACTTTTCCCAAACGAATATGGGCGGTGTCATTTACCAATATTTCCATGGCGGAAATTGAAACGAAATTAATCCAACAAAGCGAAAGAGAATGGAAACGTTACATTGATGACTCCCTTTGGGATTAAGACAGAGAAGAAGTAGATGGTTTATTAAACGAGGTAACTATTTCCATCCTACTATCAAATTCATGGCCTAAATCTCAGAGAACCAAATCACCTTCCTCGATACCACAGAGTTTAGAGGAGAGAGATTCGCAAAAAATCCAACTTGGACATAAAAACCCATTACAAGCCTAACCCAATTTACGCACTTCGCCTCGTGCCACCCACCAGGCGTAAATCATGGTTTCATCAAAGGCGAAGCAATCAGATTGCTTAGAACAAACTCTCTGAAAGAAATATTAGAGGAGGGCCTTTTAAAATTCAAACAACACCTCAAAGCAGGAGGGTAGGAGGGTAGAAAACATCATAGAAAGGTCTCTGTCAGGGGTCAACTTTGCCTCTAGGCAATCGACTCTTACGCATACACAAAAGCCAAAAGGTCACAACGTATCACTCGGCAGTGAAAAAATTTTAAAAAATATCAATGGAACATCGGAGTCCGTCCTTGCGGAAAGTAATCTTTACAAAACTTCCGATCATCTCTTACAAAAAGGGAAAATCACGCTCGTGAGAGGAAAAATATAATTTGAAGGTTATAATGCGACGCGACCACAAAAGCTACATGGGGAGTCCGTGCCAGTCTGTTATCACCTTTATTCTCGGGCTTAGAAAACCTCGAGTGACATGATTTGGGCGCTGCTCAGTAATTAAAGTAAAAATTTCAGTATAAATACGAGACCCAACGTTAAAATGAGAAAACAAAGTAGGCGCTATAGCTCTGCGCTGCAAGAAGTTATGAATCTCAAGTAGAAACCTCGGAAAACATTTCAAATGGTTTTCCATAGGCTGATACAATAAAAGTGCGAGCAACTACCTGTTGGGATGTAGCGTATTGAAAGCGAAATTTAAAGCTTAAAACGGCGCGAATAGTTAGTTAAACTACATTTTATAAATAGAAAACTTGATAAATGTTAAGAAAACAACACTTTGCTCGTTTTAACTGCGGTATCAAAAGCGTCCTCCACTATTCCATTAAGGCAAAGGCTTTTGATAAATTAAAATCTGGGATGTTGTCTAGTATGGCTTCATTTCTCAGGGCAGGAATATTTTTCAGTTAATATGGGTTTACAGGGACAATAGTCCATAGATTTTTGACCAATCAGAGCGTACGTTTTCTCTGAGTTCTGTTGTAATGTTTGTTCTACCGATTACCTTAAACTCGTTTTTTAAATGTCATCATTGCTTCATTAAAAATAATTTTTGGATTCTAAATCAACTTCTTTTTTGGGTGTTTTAGAAGTCCATAGATCTGATTCGGAAAATGAGAATCGTCTTCTTTTAATTTTTGCAGTAATGAAAAAAATTATGAAAATTACTTTTCAATAATGAAAAAAAAATCGAACATTTGTTTCAATTATGAACCAGAACTCCTTCTCGTTTATACGAATGAGGACTGTACCTCCTTTCACTTCAATTCAAAAGGTTGATTTCATGCTTCCTTCGAGGTTTTCAGCGCTACATGTGTATTCGCCAGACTCTTCGAACCGCGCTTGACGAATCATGAAATTGTTGTTTTTAGCAACATCCTTTATTTTCGTAAAGATTTCCTATCTGACCAACAGAACAGGGAGGTAAGAATTTAGGTACCTATTTATTAATTTCTTCGTCCTTTTCTTATTAGTTGTTAGGTGTAGTGTCAACACCCCGTGCTACCATCTTCCAAGATTACCAGTTTCTCTAGGTTCAAAGTACACATTTACTTTGAAGAATAGCTAAGTAATGGTGGTCAAAAGGTTTGCATTCCATGAAAACATAACGTTAAATTTGTCACTTTACACACCCAAATCGTCTGTTGCAACAAAAGACCAAGTTCATATATTTATTTGCAGTTTTGGTCGCTGATTTGGCAAATTTAAATTCAGTGAAAAGTTTACATGGAAGTTTCTTCAAAAATCGCTTTCCAACTCCAATAATAAATACTTAGATAATAATGCACTGATAGCCGCTTTGACAAACTGTGACTCATGCACTTTTACCACATCTAAAAATGTAAATGAAATCATGACTCGTTAGTCATTGGTATTAAAGAAGCAGGAAACGAAAAGGTAATCCAAATTTTATACGGACTTTTATAATAAATTCCGAGACAAATATGGTGCGTTGGTATCTATAAAATTTAATGACTGAAATTATATTTAGTTCCTTAAACAGCTTACCTTTGACATCTACTGTCACAACAGAGCGAGCCACATTTCCTAGCTTGTTACTTGCTTCACAAGAATATTCACCACTGTCCTCTTCTACAACTTCAGTACGAGCAAGTTTACTCGTTTTTTCATCTAATCGTGTATCTATAACTGCTCTTTCTGTGATCGAGTTTCCATCTTTTTTCCACCTTATGCTTATAGTTTCTTCGTTGACTTTGCAGGTCAATATGAGGGCATATCCTTTAGTGAATATTATGTATTTCTCTGGAACAACTTGAGCAGAGGCTTTCCCTGCGTTGAAAAAGGGGTGATTCATTAGAATGCGAGTGTCACATTAAAAAATACAACTACATTATCAACACTCAAAAAAAAAAAAAACAAAACAAAACAAACAAAAACATGGAAACGAAACGAGTCAAATGTGATCATTTCTAGGAATGCCTCGGATGTGTTGCTTTAGATGAAAAAAAAATGAGAAAAGTGTTTCCAAGTGAGTTTCGAAAGAGTTTCAGAACAAGCTTGAAGCCTTTATGTTTTCAATTTCCTGGTTACTGTCTCACCCGCCCCAGATCCTCCGCTGAACTACTAAATTAAGGTCTTAATAATGTTCCATCTTCTCTTGTTCTTTTTTCTACACCCTCGTGTCAAATTGTCACAACAAGTGAGTCATGCAACACGAAGTTTCTTTCTTTTCCAGCACTGCGGTAGCGGGTCTAATTTCAAGAAGGTGATCGTCCGTCTAAACTCTAAAGTACTACAACAACTTCATCTGGTGGTATTCTATCACTTCCTGAGGAGAATGAACTTACTAAATTTTATCACATAGACTGCGGTATTATACAAGGATTTCCGGCCCTGAGAAAAGCACTAATAACACACGTTTTCTCGTTTTTCACACGTATTTCTCAAGCTGACACGGTTAAATCTCCATGCATAAATTGTGGATATCATAGACGGAACTAGAATCAAGAGCTGCTATGACAATTCAATCGATAGAGAATATTTCATGGAAAGTCTGTCCGTATGGTATTTTACGCACGAATTGGTAGTATCGGAAATCGAACAGGTGTGCGCAGCGAACCAATGAGATTTCTGGTACAAACCGACTCGCTGTTTTCTCTTTTGTGTTTTTGCTCTGCATACTTTCTATTCCGCATTATTCTTCACAGAGGTTCTTCAGTCATCTTTTTTAAGTAATTAGATTTAATAAACAGTCCTGAGAGCCGATTACAATGTTATGAACGGAAATTATGCCAGTGAAGGATTAATTAGAATAACATCCGCTTTACGGGTGAAAAAGCGCGATACGCGGTTCCTCACACGTGGAAAAAGCGATATGCACCATTTTATTGGCTCTCGGCTTCTTGGACCAGCTTGCGAATAAATTTTAATTTCATGCCCTTTCAGCGTGTAAATCTGTAAATCTCAAATCTGTTATATTCTCCATCCTCAAGTCACATTAAGAGTTCCCAAACTCATAAATCAACTTTGTGGATAGATGTAAGAGAATTGGGGTGCGAAGGAACTCTTTCGAACACTTAATCGCTATTTGACCTCCGATTTCGGTCACGGATAGAAGCGTATTTGCTTCAAGTATTTTATTTTGTTTAAGTTTTGTTGTTCAATGCTGAGAACGCCAGTTGTGTGGCGCTTCGATTTTGCTCTCCTCCGAGATTCTGGATCTCTCCGTTTTGGAAGTCTCGTCTTCAAATTTTTCCAGTTTAAGAGTACATTGCGTATCATCAAGTATTTCGAATCAATCAACTCTCTTTAGCGCCATCACCTGTCCTTTTTCCTTAACGTTTCTTTCCAACCCAAATCTACGCAGTTCTTTGCGTGTGTAATCAATTTTTAGTATTAAGCATTGATATCAACCGTTTTTTTGAAGGTCATGTCCCCGTTGTTCGAAGGGTGGATAACACTATCCGTCGGATAAAATTCTATCTGGTGGATAACGTCATCATCATCTTCATCATCATCATCGTCATCACCATCATCGTCGTCATTATCAACGTCATCATCATCATCGTCATCATCGTCATCATCGTCATCATCGTCATCATCAACATCATCGTCATTATCAACGTCATCATCGTCATTATCAACGTCATCATCGTCATTATCAACGTCATCATCGTCATTATCAACGTCATCATCATCATCATGAACAATATCATTAATTCTTAACTTACCATAAACACGCAGTACTGCTGAGTGAGCAGCTGTATTTGCTTTGTTTTTTGCTGTACACTTGTAAGTCCCATTCATCTCTTTCGTGACACTTGGCAATACCAGGTTTGATTCTCCTTCGCGATTGAATTGATTGATACCAGATGGCAGGTTACCATTATTAAAAGTCCAGACCAAGGTTGGTTTTGGAAAACCTGAGGCTATACAAATAAGGTCTACACGGTCTCCTTCGGTAACATATCGGCTTATCGGAGGCGTAATAATCTTGGGAGAGACTTGAAATAAATAGATCACCAAGTTAAACAAAGGGCCGTATTGTCCATTTTAACCCCCTCTCCCCCGTCCCTAATCCAACCCTAAATTAACTAGTTTCAAAATAAAAGCAAACTACAATATTGCCAAGTCTATTTTAATCCAACTTCATTTTTGCTGATTTAGCAAATTTCAATTCCATGAAAATAAGTTGGCATGTTCTCACTCTTTAAATGTTATCATTATTTGATTACTTTTTTTATTATTTTAATCAATTTTGAACTTTTGTGGTTTCAAGCCCTTAAATCTGATTTAGTACCTCAGAATCAAATTTTGTTCTTATCTTTTTTATATGTAAATGAGAACCGTACCGTACCCGCCACTTCGATCCAGAAAGTTGAGTTTTTGCTCCCTTCGCTGTTATTGGCCCTGCATGTGTATTTACCAGAGTCTTCCAATCTCGCTTGATGAATCCTGAGAATGTTGTTGTTACTGATATTCAACCCATCCTTAGTCCAGCGTATCTCAGGTGTAGGGACACCGCCTAGAGAGCATTTGAACTCAAGCGGTGAATTATATGTAACCAACTGATCCTTGAGCTCAGGATTAATTTCAGGAGGACCTGGGCATAGAATTAACAAACACAATGCAAAAAGGTGAAAGAATGAAAAAACAAAACAAAGCAAAACAAAAAAAAGAAAAAGAGAAGAGCAACTGAAGGAAACAAACGTTAGTCAACATTTACCTGTGACATATGAAAAATTGATTGAATTTTCCCTTCACTGTTTTTAGCGCCGATGTGTATCAACCAGCATCTTCATAACTCACTCGATTAATCACCAAGATTCAACCCATCCTTAGTCCAGAGTATCTCAGGTGAAGGGAAACCGCTTCGAGAGAATTTGAACTGAAGCGGTGATTTATATGTAACCGATTGATTCTTGAGCTCAGGATTTATTTAATGTAATTCGACCACCATAAAGATTTTTAAAGCTGACGTTTCGACCGTTAGCCCTTGGTCAGAGCTAAAACTCGAAATTGGAAACTACTAGCGGTGGCCAATCTACATTACCAACTCGGTTGGTAAAACCAAAGTGTATTTTACAAAGAGTTTGGAAGTTAATAAAGGGACAGTCGACCAACAAATGGGTCCTTTACTTTCCCCTTATACATGAGACCACTTACAATCACAAGGCAGTGATTCCTGAGTTCTTGAGCAGTCAAATTCTAGAAGTAAGAATATCCAGGTAATCTTTTAAAAGTAATAAACGATTGGACATTAAGTCATCTTATTTCAGTTAGAGAGAATATCCATTGAGAAAAACTGCTGAAGGTTCCTGCCTAATTATTATTGCAATCTATGCATAAGAATTAATCCAATTGAATAGAGGCTTATAAATGCTGCATAGTTTTTTGAAGTTGTAAAATAATGGCGAAAACCCGCCATTGCACTTTCGAGTCACAAATTCTAAAAAACTCCCTCTTGTCACTTACCGACTCTTTGCCGGTACTGGATATCGCACACTTTGCAGACACTCCAAGATGACCACGCCATACAACCTTTGAAAACAATAAGTTGCGCGCAAAGAGTCATATGTCATACTATCACTCTACCTATGCTCTTTACTTCCTTTGCTGTATTAATCTCAGCTTGTCATAAAGGATACCAAAATACGTAATTATTAGGGTCGATATCCTCAGTTTTTAATTTCCGAGGAGACTTCGAACTAATATCTCCAAGTTAAAAAGATTGATGGCTTGAAGCTTATACATTACCCAACTTACAGTTCCCTAATTATAAACATCATTGGTGTTCTCTCAACATCTGTCGGGGATTTATTATGTTATAAGCTAGGGAGAGTGACACTGTTTTCTGTTGTTCAAATGAATGACTGTGCAAAAATGTTAAAAGAAACAAACTAGGATTTTAACGTTTTCAATTTTTAATTTTCAACTTTACTGTAAAAGTTCCACTAGTATATGGCAGAAGCCTGAAGCGTTGAAATTCAATTGTTATAACAATTAAAAGTTTTATTTCTATGCAACATCTTTGTCCACGTATCCACTGATCCACAGAGAAGAGTATCCTGTCTGTATCTCTCTACTGAGATCCATTCGTTTGTTAAACCATCTTTATCGACCCTTTATCCTGCCTACTGATAAATGATAGTTCAAGCATGGCTACTTACAATCTGTTATATCAGTTAGGATGAGGATGTGAGGTGAACATGAAAAGAAAGATTCACATTCGGTGAGTTAATAAGTGGCTTAATATAGCCTTGGAATACTTGACTACACACATCATAAGCTTAACAAATAGACTGAACTCGTCGCACTCACCCGCTTATGAATCCGGAAAGAATGACGTGAAAGAGAAAAAGAATTTTAAAAAGATATTAATCCGTTTATCTATTCATTTTTTTTTATTTGAACCAACCAGTTTGTTTGGTAAGTCAATATTTTACATTGAAATCGATAATTATGTAACAGAATTTGTTAAATCAAACAAACAATTAGCCAAAATGACTGATATCTGATGATAATTATGCAAATATCGTTTATAAGAGAGATATAATAATACTACCACATCAATCAAATCGTTTTGACGGTAACATTTTAACAGTAACAGCTATCACTAACTGTCATTGATATACACCCACATATTCTTTTCCTCTATTTACGATTTTAATTTGCTGGTCAGTCAACAGCTAGTGCAGAGAGTCGATGTGTGTTGAGCCACAGGAGGGTTCTTTATTTATAGGAACGGATGATATTGATAGTTACCTTCCTCTTTGGCTAGGCAGAAAAGATGAGATAAGAAAGGAGGAGCAGTTAATAATGTAAATAACGTAGCTTGAGTTATGGAATAACAATCCATCGTAAATTCTAACCCACTTTTTGGAAAGGAGTTAAGATTCAATTCTTTCTCAACACATGGAAAGCGAGCATTAGTGCCTAAATTTACATTTCCCAGAGAAGGATGTAATGTTGAAAAAAGGTTCTCAAGAAACTGAAAGATAAAATTGTCAAGGATGGGTTGCATTTCTAAATCTGTGTTTAAACTGTTTCATGCCGGTTTCGCATTAAGGGTTTGTCTGTTTTTTTACTTGTGGTTAATTTTGTTTTACTTCTGTTCTGCGTTTGTCAGACCTTATAATGATCCTAAGTTAGACACCGCGAACTGTTTTGTTTGCGGTCTTCGACGAGATTCAGTCGCTATCAGGAAGAAGAAAAAGTCAGCATTACTGAATCGAATGTTCCTCGTCAGCGGTCACCAGCAGATCAGAGGATAATGGCCAGTTATAGAAGTCTTCCCGAATAAAAATATACCGAAGGCTCGCGTTGAGCTCAAAATTCGAAATAAAGCGTAAAATAAACTTGACACATATTGATGGATGTCCTCGTAAATTTCATTGATTGAAACTATTCTATTAGAAGCAAAATCAATTTGCAATAGGTAACATCGCAGTTTTGCTACCCCTAGTCCTGCACTACAGCTTCTCAGCCAATTTGATTTCACATAATCACATGCGTTTTCCAGCGCTGGATGTAAAATGTTTGCTTTGAATATGAGTTTCCCTAGGCTCCGCTGATTTTTCATTGTTTTAGTTCGCCGTAATGATAACTTAGCTTTGTTTTTATAACTGTTGATCGAAATGCACTCCGAAAAGGGTAAACAATTTATATGTGGTCCAGTTGAACAAGGGATCTTAAGTACTAAAGAAAAATTAAATTGTCCTCAAAATGATTATTAAAAATAAGAGTTTCGCGAGATTAACTTAATCCAACTTACCAGCTGAGTGGTTGCAGAAGTGGCATGTAAAACAAAAAGTATTAAAATATAATTAAAGCGTACATCTGTGGCTCAAAGACACCCAGTTGTTTATTGAGAAATATTGTGTACTTTTCCCTTCGTTTATCAGTTGAATATGTGAACGTAAACGCACTGTAAAGGTGCCATACAAATACAAATGCTCTAAAAGAAAATGAAACATGTACTTACGTCCTAATCGTTTTTCACATTTGCCAAGGCCAAGGAATAACAAAAAAATACATCAGGAACAGTTTCAAGTAAATGACACCTCAATTTCACAGTCTACCACAGATACCCTTAAATCTTTATCTAAACTGAGCCACTGGATAAAAATCAGATCTTTAGCTACCAATGGCTCACATTGAATAAATATTTTTATAAGAGCCCAGTTCAAAACGACTTCAACCAGTTTCCAAGGAAACAAGGAAGCAAGGCGAATATCAGAATGCCATGTTTATTAGTGATCATAATTTCTCATATATATATTTGTTCCCAATAATATCAATAAAAAGAAAATTGTAACTTTCATTGTCACCAAAGCAAGCGATAGTGATACAAATATGTTACATGATTGTTACTGCAGCAGTGAAATCCTCCAATAACTATAAAAAGAAAACATACTTACGATCTGTTTGCCCGTCAAGGTAGGAAATAAGAAAAAGAGATATGTTAGTTAGTGATACACATTTTTTATTGCCCACACAGTTCTTAATCAATAAAGGGGTAAGTTTCTAAAGAAACTGTGGTGCTGCGTCGGTGGGAGAGTATAGCAGGTAATTTAGTGTTAACAACTGGGTTGAAAACGTAAATTAGCCACCGTAAAGGGTAAAAAAGCTGACGTTTCGAGCGTTAGCCCTTCGTCAGAGCGATTGAATCGCTCTGACGAATTACGGTGGCTAATTTACGTTTCCACATAGTTCTTAAGTTTGGTATCGTTAAGTAAAAGTGTATTGTTAATGGAACAGCCGGTAGTATGACTAGGCGTCATGTTACACTTGCCATAACTGTTGGGTATTTCAAATGGTTACCATGTAGGCAGTGAATGGAGATGTCAGACCGGATAAAAGCCTTGAACATACTGTCAGCCATTAGTAAAAAAGGACATTTTGTCGAGGTATAGCTCTTGGCCGCAATTAAAAATGATGACCGGGGCGAAAACTATGCCGATTCATTTTAAGTTAAGCTTTTTCTGTTACAAATCTACTCTTTCGCAAAAATGATGATAAGTCTGACGAGGGTCTCGCACATGATGATCGACGATTAGTACCTGGTTTGTTAGAATTGTGAAAATAAATGAGGAAAAGTAAAGAAAAAGCTACTTACGTCCTGTTTCGTCTAATGGGACGTTGGTGAACCGGATGAAAAAGAAGAGAAAATGAAGCAACTGAAATTTACTGCCAGTTTAAAGCCGTTGTCAGATAGTGGGAGGGCTGGACGGAAAAGTATTTGGGTCGAGGTTATGACGTACAGACCGAGCGCAGCGCAGAGGTCCGAGTGCTATGACCGAGAACCAAATATTTCCGGTCCAGTCCGACCTAACTCAGTCAATAAGCATTTTATCGTATGACTAATAAGTGTTGGAAACTTCGATTTTTTTTTTCTTAAATACGACGCGATAGACTGGCGCGCGCACATAAACGATTCTACAATTCAAACTTTTCCTTTCTGATTTCGAGTTAGAACAGGAAAATCATATTTCATCGAAAAACGTGGCATTTGCCTCTATTTCTGCTCGTTAATGTCACTCATTTTTTGCCACAACAGCGGACGAAGTATTTTATTTTTGTTTTTTTTGTACAAGTGCAC